TCAGAGATTACACCCCCCCCCCTCCAAAATAAATGTTTATTTCTCAATAAAATATTTGCTTTGCCCATGAAGTGTTTCAAACTTATTTCAAAGAAATTAAAAAGGCAAGGCTTGTTATTTGTACAGGCACAATTCATGTTACAAAACAATTCAAAAGTATTTAAATAAAAATTAAGAAGCATTACCAGCTGGGTGACAGTGGAAGAAGCATAAAAAGTAACAGAATAAAAAGCAATGATTTAAAATTTAAAAAAACAAAAATTCATAAGAAAAAGATAAAAGTATAAGTAATTCCAGCTTAAAAGATAAGCCGTGACAGATTTGTACATTAGAATATAAAATATTCAAAAGCCGGCTGAAGAACAGGGGTGCGGTCTTTAACCGGGATGTAAAACAGAACTGAGTTGTTTCAGCTGATCTGAGGCTTTCTGGGAGTTTGTTCCAGACTTGTGGAGCATAGAAAGTGAATGCAGCTTCTCCGTTGTCTGGTTCTGGACTCTGTCTCGGATCCAGGATGACATGAGGGTTCTGTTTGGTTCATAAGTTATGAACAAGGCACTTGCAACAAAACTTCTTGCACATGTTCGTTAAGGCACCAGCAAACAGTGACATACTTTATCTAAAGGCATAAGGTTTTCACCCTCAATTATGAGGTAAGCATATTGCCACAGGTACAGTTGATTGTAAGAATTGAATTTGTTGCGCACAACACCAAACACCCTATCAACGTGGAATTCTGAGATGGAAGGTCTAATCTGAGGCGGCATTACAGTCTATTGACAAGCTGGAAGGGTGAGAGCTTCCTATCCTTCCTTGAGGCTAGCTGCTGGGCCGGCGATGGGGGCTGCTGGGCTTGGGCTGTGCGATGGGAGGCTGTAGGGCTTGGGTGGCGATGGAGGCTGCTGGGACTTGGGTGGCGATGGAGGCTGCTGGGCTTGGGGCTGGCGATGGAGGCTGTGGGCTTGGGCTGGCGATGGAGGCTGCTGGGCTGGCGGCTGGCGTGGAGTCTTGCTGGGCTTGGGGCTGGCGTGGGGCGGGCTGGGCTTGGGCTGGCGATGGAGGCTGCTGGGGCTGGGTGGCGATGGAGGCTGCTGGGCCGGCGATGGAGGCTGCTGGATTGGGTGGCGATGGAAGCTGCTGGGCTTGGGGCTGGCGATGGAGGCTGCTGGGTTGGGCTGGCGATGGAGGTGCGGGGGGGGTTTAGGGCTGGCGATGGTGGCTGATGGGCTTGGGTGCGATGGAGGCTGTGGGCTTGGGGCTGGGCGATGGTGGCTGCTGGGTTGGGCTGCGATGGAGGCTGCTCCCCTCGATGTGTGAAGGAGAGGTTCCGTAGGTCTTTCCTTCCTGCTGCTGTCAGACTGTACAACAAACAAAAAGGACTAATGAACACTGCCAACTTGATCCCACTTGTCATGCTTCGTTGCAATATCCTTTACTTATCAGTGGACGATTTTGCAGCCGTTAAATACATTTTGAATCTTTTTCCAGTGCATACATAATACTTTGAAAGAAATGCAACATTGAACCAAATCCCCCTGTGTGTGTAACCGTGCTGAGCTCCAGGCTCCGTGGGCCGCTGACAGGCATTCCCTGCAGAGTGTGCTGCCTCCCCCACGGCCTCCTCCCCTCGGGACAGGCACACACCTCTCTCGGGACAGGCACACACCTCCCTCGGGACAGGCACACACCTCCCTCGGGACAGGCACACACCTCAGCATTGGACGGGTGGCACAATCAATTATATATGGCATTTTTTTAGACACAAAGACACTCCGTACACGCTGGTGTACGGAGTGTACATCGACAAGAGTTTTTCCTTGTCGATGCAGGAGGGTCTTGTTGGACAGTTAGTGTCCAACAGAAAGGATTGGTGATGATCAGGACACTTTAGCATTCTACAACATGTATGGACATTTTCTTCTGTGTGTGCTTTATACTGTATTCTTCATGTGTTTTAACTGTTGATTCTCTGACCTGTGTTGGTGATTTCAATGGTTTTGTTAAGTCCTCTGAGATGACTTCTGTTGTGACCTAGGGCTATACAAGAATAAATTGTATTGTATTGTATTGTATTGGTGATGAGTGGCAGTCCTCCCCCCTTGGACTGCCACCTTAACGTGGTGGGGGAGTTTGAGCACTCGGATGATCCTGGGAGCTATGCTGTCTGGGGCTTCATGCCCCTGGTAGGGTCTCCCATGGCAGACAGGTCTCAAGTGACGAGTCAGACGAAGCGCAGTCCGAAGCCAACCATGGACAGCACGACAACAAAAACCGTGACGTCGCCCGGCATGGCGCAGCCGGGGCCCCACCCTGGAGCCAGGCCTGGGGTCGGGGCTCGCAAGCGAGCGCCTGGTGGGCCGGGCCTTAGCCCACGGGGCCCGGCCGGGCTCAGCCCGAAGGGATGACGTGGGCAGTCCCTCCTGTGGGCTCACCACCTGCAGAGGGGTCCGTGGTGGCGAGGTGCAGAGAGGACTGGGCAGCAGTCGAAGGCGGAGACCTCGACGACCCAGTCCACACACCCAACATCTGGCTCTTGGGACGTGGAACGTCACCTCACTGGGGGGGAAGGAGCCCGAGCTTGTGGGGGAGGTTGAGCGATACCGACTAGAGATAGTCGGCCTCACCTCCACACACAGCTTGGGCTCTGGAACCCAACTCCTTGAGAGGGGTTGGACGCTCCACTTTTCTGGTGTTTCCCGCGGGGAGAGGCGGCGAGCTGGGGTGGCCATACTCATTGCCCCCCATCTCAGCCGCCACGTGTTGGAGTTCTCCCCGGTGAATGAGAGGGGGTCGCGTCCCTCCGTCTCCGGGTGGGGGACAAGTCTCTCACTGTTGTGACGGCCTACGGGCCTAACGGTAGTGCAGAGTACCCGGCCTTCTTGGAGTCCTTGGGAGGGGTACTGGACAGTGCACCGCCCGGGGACTCCGTTATTCTCCTGGGGGACTTCAACCGCCCATGTGGGAAATGCCAGTGACACTTGGAGAGGGGTGATCGGGAAGAGCGGCCCCCCTGATCTGAACCCGAGCGGTGTTCAGTTTTTGGACTTCTGTGCCAGTCACGGCCTGTCCATCACGAACACCATGTTCGAGCACAAGGGTGTCCATCAGTGCACGTGGCACCAGGACACCCTAGGCCGGAGGTCGATGATCGACTTTGTAGTCGTATCATCTGACCTTCGACCGCGTGTCTCGGACACTCGGGTGAAGAGAGGGGCGGAGCTGTCAACCGATCATCACCTGGTCGTGAGTTGGATCCGCTGGCAGGGCAGGAGGCCGGTCAGACCTGGCAGGCCCAAGCGTGTAGTGAGGGTTTGCTGGGAACGTCTTGGTGAGCCCCCTGTCAGACGGACTTTCAACTCACACCTCCGGGGAGAGCTTCTCCCAGGTCCCGGCAGAGGAGGGGGACATCGAGTCCGAGTGGACCATGTTCTCTTCCTCTATCGCCAATGCGGCGGCTCGTAGCTGTGGTCGCAAGGTCTCTGGTGCTGGTCCCGGCGGCAATCCCCGAACCCGGTGGTGGACACCGGCAGTAAGGGATGCCGTCAGGCTGAAGAAGGAGTCCTATCGAGCAATGATGGTTCGTGGGACTCCTGAGGCAGCTGTCCAGTACCGGCAGGCCAAACGTGCCGCGGCCCGGGCTGTTGCAGAGGCAAAAACCCGGGACTGGGAGGAGTTCGGAGAGTCCATGGAGCATGACTATCGGTCGGCCTCGAAGAGGTTCTGGCAAACCGTCCGGCGCCTCAGGAGGGGGAAGCAGTTCTTTGCCAACACCGTGTATGGTGCGGGTGGAGGGCTGCTGACCTCGACTGGGGATATTGTCGGGCGGTGGAAGGAATACTTCGAGGTTCTCCTCAATCCCCCCGTCACGTCCTCCGTCCAGGAGGCAGAGGCTGAGGATGTTGGGGCGGATACTTCCATCTCCCTGGCCGAGGTCACCAAGGTGGTTGGCAGCCTCCATGGTGGCAAGGCGCCGGGAGTGGATGAGATCCGTCCTGACTATCTAAAGTCTCTGGATGTTGTAGGACTGTCTTGGCTGACACGTCTCTGCAACATCGCGTGGCGATCGGGGGCGGTGCCAATGGAGTGGCAGACCGGGGTGGTGGTCCCTCTCTACAAGAAGGGGGACCGGAGGGTGTGTTCCAATTATCGTGGGATCACACTCCTCAGCCTCCCCGGTAAGGTCTACTCCAAGGTACTGGAGAGGAGGCTACGTCCGATGGTCGAATCTCGGATTCAGGAGGAGCAGTGTGGTTTTCGTCCCGGTCGCGGAACACTGGACCAGCTCTATACTCTCCATCGGATACTCGAGGGTTCATGGGAGTTCGCCCAACCTGTCCACATGTGCTTTGTGGATTTGGAGAAGGCGTTCGACCGTGTTCCCCGGGGTGTCCTTTGGGGGGTCCTCCGGGAGTACGGGGTCCGGGGTCCTCTGCTGAGGGCTGTTCGGTCCCTGTATGACCGGAGCCAGAGCTGTGTTCGCATTGCCGGCAGTAAGTCAGACCTGTTCCCGGTGCATGTTGGCCTCCGCCAAGGCTGCCCTTTGTCACCGGTTCTGTTCACTGTATTTATGGACAGAATCTCTAGGCGCAGCCAGGGGCCGGAGGGGGTCCGGTTCGGGAACCACAGGATTTCATCTCTACTTTTTGCGGATGATGTCGTCCTGCTGGCTCCAACGAACCAGGACCTGCAACATGTACTGGGACGGTTTGCAGCCGAGTGTGAAGCGGCTGGGATGAGAATCAGCACCTCCAAATCCGAGGCCATGGTGCTCATCTGAGATGAGCACCATGAGATTATCCCTTGTGTATCTATAAGCTACATAGTTTCAAAGAATTATTATGTACATACATTTTTGAGTCATTTTTGGGTCTCAGGTCTGGACGGGAACAAAACTCATCAGTTTTTGAGTGCGTAAGGTACTTTGTGTTCTCATGCTTTGTAAACACTCTAAATGTTGCAACATGGAAAAGAAAGAAGGAGAGGAATGTGCAGAAAAAAACTCACCCGACAGTGATGTCAAAGATGTTGCTACCCACAGAGCTGGACACGGCCATGTCCCCCAGGCCTTTCCGAGCCACAATGACACTGGTGATGAGGTCTGGGATGGAGGTGCCTGCTGCCAGGATGGTGAGGCCCATGATCTCCTCTGAGATGCCCACAGTCTCCCCCACCTGAGAGGGGCACAGGGTCAGCCTGGACTCAGCCTAGACTCAGCCTTAGCTCATTATGCTTTCCTCGGGTCAAAACAACCCACAACAGATGATTAGAAGTGGAAAAAATATACCCTAAATTAAGGCCTGAAAGGGTTCAAATGACCCAGGGCTGATCAAGCCAGGGAATGTCATTAAGATTCAGCTTGAAAAAAAAAAAAAGATCTAGGGTATCTTTAAATCTCTGGCGGCTCAATTTGACCCGAGGATACCACAATGTTTAAAGGTTTGGTTATATGTCGCCTATTTTAAAGTTTGTATAATTAATGGTGTCCCTGGCTGCTGCGTTATGAGCAAAGACTGTAGGTGCAGTTGAGTTGAGTTATCAGACATAACAAAACACTGCCCTCTTGTGTCAAGACTTGGTACTATCTGAGGCGAGCATCTTCCTATCATTTTTATTGTGCTCCAGGAAAAAAAACCTCCAGGATTATACAGAATGGGAGTACCTTAGGTTTCTCTGTTTACAACTGTTTAATTATTGGTTTTCCTACCAAACAACGAGAATGTAAGGACAGATGCTCCAGGACACACTAAGTCCGGCAAACATGAGTTAGTGTTTCTTCAATGATTTCCTTCCCAAACTCTTCTGGACAATGATATGTATGAGCTGGAGACTCACCTGATGGGCCCACCACACCATGAGATAGGAGAAAACCCCGATCCACAAGATGGAGCCGAGAAACGTCATAGTGAAGAACCTCTGTGACGCCTGAAAGAACAGACATGGTCATAACTCTGCTTTCACTCATCAACCCTGGTTCAAACCACTGCCACATCAATATCTTCTGTAGTATCAAAATCATGTGTCATATCAATATCAGATGTATGGGACTTTTTGGACTCTCCGCTGAAAAGGTTCCCAACCTCTGCTTTTGTGGGTTTATGCGTGGTCAGCTCGATTCTGGCCATTTCTCTGCACTGGCTTACATCACAAAAGTAAAAAATCCTTTTGTATCAGAGGTACCAATGAGGAGTCTCAAATGTCACTCAAAGACATCATTTCATACATTCAGGAAGCAGTGATCCTCAGAGAGACCTTCACAGTTGTGGTCCGGGTCCTGATTGTGTGCTGTGTGACTTCTCTGACCTTGTTCCTAACGTCCGGGAGAGTGAGCCACAGCGGCAGCACTATGGGCAGCAGCAGCAGGTACGAGGTCTGCTTGGGGAGCGTGTTGGGCCAATCCAGACTCAAGGGGGCGCTTTCCTCTTCCTCCTTCTCCTTCCCCTCTTCCTCCTCCTCTTTCTTATCCTCATGTGGACCAGAGCAGGAGGAACAGCTGCTGCCCGAGCTCCACTCTCTCGCCTCTGGGATCTGCATACAATAGGATGAAACCGGTCAAAAGAAAGAACCATTATGATATGTTCCTTTTGTCCATTAAACAGGATTTTGAGAATATTGACTTTTACTAAAATCCAGTTCTCAGGTCTCTGCACAGGCTTCCTGTGGCTCAGAAAATAGACTTTAAAGCAGCTCTGTTTGAGCGCAAGTCTCTCCATGACAAACTCTGGCTCTGAGGAGCACAGGAACTAGCCTCCTGCTTGTGCCAGAGTCAGAACTATACATGGCGAGGCAGTATTTCAGATTTATGCAGGTGAAAAAATAAGATGACACCCGCACACTGTCTAACTTGCAAAACCACCAGTGATTTATTCAAATAGCAACGTTTCGGCCACAGGCAAATCCCTGATTCAAATAGCAACGTGAATAAATCACTGGTATTTTTGCAAGTTAGACAGTGTGCGGGTGTCATCTTATTTTTTCACGTTTGGCCAGCTTTTGCGCGCCCACTCCTGTCACAAAAGAGATGTGCAAAGTCTACCTCTTTTAGATTTATGCAGGTAAAATGTGGAATAGTCTTCCTGAAAATGTAAGGTGGGCATCTTTCATCTTCACTCTTCAGTCTTTTTAATGTACAGTATTGTTTCTATCTATCTATCTGTGTCTATCTGATCTTTGTTAAGCTGTCCCATACAAATAAACTTGTCTTGTCTTTTAGAATGTGTTCCTACTCCCCTCCCCTTCGGTGTCTGTGAGTCTCCTCTTCTGTCTGTTTGAAACCCTCTGTCTCAACTCTTTTCCCTTTTTTGTATTTCTTTAGGTCACTTTGGGCCTGGTTTAGTCCTGTTTTAGTCATTTTCTTTTAACATTAGTCCTGGTTTAGTCTTGTTTTGGTCCTCGTTTAGACCTGGTTTAACCCCTACAGTCCTGGTTCAGGCCGTACTCTCACCTTTTCGTGCTGTGGCTCGACAGCTGGGAGTCTTTGGGACGTGGACGGTTCTGCTGCAGCGATCTCCGTCTGAGGATCCTGCTCCAAGTCTGAAAAGAACAACATGAGACAACACTTCAACTACATCAGGCGTTTCAAAGCTCTTGTGAGGTCAGGATGGAGTGTGCGCAGGGATGGAGCGTGCGCAGGGATGGAGCGTGCGCAGGGATGGAGCGTGCGCAGGGATGGAGCGTGCGCAGGGATGGAGCGTGCGCAGGGATGCAGTCGATGGATCGGACTGTTGTGGAGAAGAGGGAGCTCAGTGTATTTCCCCATCTTAGCTTGAGCTTATCCTGAGCTCTGGGAAAGGACTGACAGGGCAAGATTGAGGTCCGCATGAGTTTCTCCTGCAGAGTGGCTCGGTGTTCTTTTAGAGAGAGAATGCGGAGCTCAGTCACACGGGAGGAGCTCGGAGTAGAGCCGCTGCTTCTCCACATAAAGACGAGCCAATTAGCGTTGGTTTCAGATGCTTCCTGAACTCCTTCCTGGCGAGGTGCGCAGGGGCTGTCCCACCAGGATGAGACCAAGGGAAGACTCAGTACACTGGGGAGGGACCTGCTCACCTGGAATGCCTCAGGATTCCCCCGGATCAGAAGAGGAAGTGTGTGTGGAGAGAGAAGTCTGGACATCTCTGCTCAGAAAATGGATGGATGGAGTAATCCATTGATTAAGATAAGAGAACCTTTATTTGTCCCACGATGGGGAAATATGGAATTTCAGAAGAAAATGCAAAAGTAATTGAACAGTTCTACCCCCATTTCACCAGAGTTCACTGAACGCACCTTTAATAATCTAACAGAGACAACAGCAAATGCATTATTGTGTAATATTTATTTGCCACGTGTAGAAGCATTCTGGCACTTTGTTAAAATCAGTTTAATAATTTGAACTCTGTCCTTTGTCAATATTCTTTGGGTTCTTGGGAGACTTGGAATATAAAGTATTTGTAAAAGAAAAAAGAAAAAAAGAAAAAAAAAGAAGAATGTTCAGTTGAAACAGAACATTTTTTTCTAAAATATTTATAAAAGGTGCGAAGAAATTGCCTTAACGTCGGAAAGACATTCTTGGTTTTAGATAGAGCTTAGTTTTTGGGTGAATGTGAAAAATCCTTTTTTGTTTTGTCCTTTGGCTTTGTGTTTTTGTTATACTTATGTGTGTATATGTGTAATTGTCTGTCTTGATTGTCATAATCCTTAAATATAAAATATATATAGAGTACATATATATTAAATCCTGAATGTACTAGACTGTGTCTGATGGTGAGCAGAGCTGCCTCTTGAGGCCCCTAGCAGATGTCAGCTTAGCTCAGGGGCCCCAGTCCATTCAAAGAATATAATAATTCAAACATACAAAACATTTAACTCCTTGAGAACAGGAACATTTTATAAGGTAAAAAAAGTCAGCTGTGGAGATGTGAGATCACCAGGTGTACACTCTGTGTCATTGGAGTCATGTTTGTGCAACAGATCTCCACAAATGAAAGGTTATTGTCCTGATTCTGGTTCTGTGTCAGAGCAACTGTGAACACACACTAAAGCTGGTGTAAGTCATCTTTGTTAAAACTAATGGTTTTGAACATTAATCAATAAACAACACACTAATAACTGAGCAAAGCAGCCTCTGATGCAGCACAGTGGCTGGGTGGATAGCACTCTCACTTCTCAGCAAGAAGGTCCCAGTTTCGAATCCCGGTTGGAACAGGGCCGCGATGGAGTGGAGTTTTTATGTTCCTCCTGTATCTCAGCCCTGTTCCCATCACTGTGTGGAGTGAGAGACCAAATGCCCACAATTGTAAAGTGCTTTGTGACTCCATCCATCCATCCATTTTCTACCCTTTAATCCATTTCTGGGTCAGGGGGGTGGCAATCAGAGATGCCACCCAAGTCTCATAGCACCAGCCCCTCACTGACCCTCTGCAGGTGGTGAGTCCACAGGAGGACGGCTGCTCTCTGACTGTGAGCATAGCCTTGATCTTTCAGTGGGGGCTTTGGGCAAAGTGGGGTTAAGTGTCTTGCCCAAGGACACAACAACAGCAGTCATCAGTGGGAGTCGGTGGAGAAGGTGTAGAGGTGGGAATTGAACCAATGCTCTACCAACTGAGCTACTGTCGCCCCGCTTTGTGACTCTTGTCTGTGAAAGGTGCTATATAAATAAAGATTTACTACTACTTACTTACTATAATTTCAAATATCTGATAACGAGCCACAGTTGTCCCTAGTGCACGCAGACAGAAACATTACATGCTTCTTCATTACAGGTCACAGCCGCAGACTTTCATTATAATTATAGAACTTATTATTCAAAGGCAGTTGTCGCTGTGATTGAAGTGGAGCTGCTCTCACCATTTAATCCAGCCTGCGATTGGCTGCGCTCCTAAGTGCTCGACTGTGATTGGCTGTTGCTTGAGCTGCTTCTAAATAATTGGCCGACTGCTCCCCTCTTCAGAAGCCTCTTATGACTGTAGCTGATTGGAGAGGAGCGGCCCCTCTTCAGTGTTCAGTCCATTCACAGCATATAAACCGCAGCCGACATGTTAGTGCTGCTGTGGTGCTCTGGGAGGCCAGTGGGAAGCAAATAACACAATACTTTACTTTACATAAGGGCTGGGACAAGATATCGCTTGGAAATAAACACAAATGGCGTCTGACATTTTCCATTTGCAGAGATTGTGAAACTCAGTGAATTCAAATGTACGCGTAAACTCGGATCATCCTGCACCAAATTCCCACCGGTACAATTTTGTGTTTACTATGTTCACTCTGCCATGGGCTAAGGTGTAAGCCTCTGTCTGTCTGTGGATTCCTCCAAAAGGACTGGACAGATTGAGCTAACATTTGGTGTAGATGCAAAACCAGCTTGGGGTATGCACGCTTCGAGTGAATGTTCGATTATGTGTTATGAATTATTACAGGATGAAGGAGAAGCACACTCTACAGTTGACGGTACACATGTTCAGAAGCACGTGAAACATGTGGGAAACAGGAACACTGTGGCGGACTACATGATATTGATTTTACTCACACAATGTAGTTCCGGTACTGACCCCTAGCGGCCACCACTTCCATAAATCACTACGCCAGCCTGTTCTCGCGCTCTCTTCTGCTCATGGACTTCAAACCCGGCTGTTCATTATGCTAAATATTGTCTCAATAGATTCTCATTTAACAACTTCTACCATGTCCATGTCCAACTTAGCTTCAGAGGTTTGACGGGATCTTTGTTTCACATGCAGGTGGCGCCATATTAGTGGGGGCGGGTCCCAGCTCAAGAGTGGCCAAAATGACGTGCGCTGACATGCTTGCAATACCACCCCGGGCCGATGGGGGTGGACCCAGAAGTAGAATTAGCCAATGCTAACATATAGCATTGGCAGACCTCTCAAAAACGTCTTTACAGGATGGACCAAAAGTTGGTTCTTGGCCCAAAGCTCCGTTCCACATGTGTGTCAATGCTGAGGGGGGAAATTTACTTGCTGTGAATTTTTGAAGTCTCTTGTTCAAATGAATGGAGTTGCGCCGGCTGACGCATGCGCAGATGCGTGTTTTCACAATTTTCTTGTGGGCGGGACCACTCGCGGCCATTTTGGATAGCTCCAGTAGAGCACATTTTTTGACCCATTAGTTAGAACGGGCAATGGGCAACAGTAGCTCAGTTGGTAGAGCATTGGCCTTCAGGCCTGAAGGTCCTGGGTTCAATTCCCACCTCGACACCTTCTCCACCAACTCCCACTGATGACTGCTGTCGTTGTGTCCTTGGGCAAGACACTTAACCCCACTTTGCCCAAAGCCCCCACTGAAAGATCAAGGGTATTCTCACACTCAGAGAGCAGCTGTCCTCCTGTGGACTCACCACCTGCAGAGGGTCAGTGAGGGGCTGGTGCTATGAGACTTGGGTGGCATCTCTGACTGCCACCCCTCTGACCCAGAAATGGAATAAAGGGTAGAAAATGGATGGATGGATAGTTAAAACGGCGGAGATAGGCGTGACTCTGTCCGTTAATATATACAGTCTATGTGCCATATCTGCATCTGCTCAGATTTGTATGTTGGAGACAGGTCCTGTTCACCCAATGTCCCTAAAACAGCAGTTGCTTCGGCCACGACTGACAAAGCGTCCTCTGAACTGCTGTTATAACTACAAACAGTAAATATTCTTATTCACAGACATGAGTACACCTTAAACGAACACAATTCATTTAGACTGTCTGTTTGGATTGTTTTTCCATCAATCTGCATTGTTTATGTTTCTGTGTTTACAATCAAATCAATAAAAACATAAAAACTCATATTTTTAAGTCCATCTTAGACTTTCTCATCGCCAAGCTCACCCTCAGCGGCCGGGTTCTCCTCGGTTTCAGCCACCGTCTCACTCAGAGGCCGAACTCTGCGAGCTGCAACCAGAATGAGATCACACACAAGAAGATACAACTACAACGAGAAAATACTACAACAAGATCAAACCACAACAAAATCAAACACAATAAGATCAGATACAGACAAAATCAGACCCTACGAGATAAAACTACGAGATGAAACTACAAAAAGATAAAACTTTAACGAGATCAGACACAATAAGATCCCAACACAACACACAACGAGACACACTGACTGCAGACTGGGCCTCACCTCTCCTCTGGCTCATCTTCACGTCACCGTTCATGGAATAATCTGATCACAACCGGGAAACAAGAGACATGGACAGTGAGACCTGCTTTAGTCCTACCTAAGTCCTGCTTTTAGCCCTGCTTAAGTCCAGCTATAGACCTGCCCTAGTCCTGCTTTAGACCTGCTTCAGATCTGTTTCAGTCCTGCTTTAGACCTGCTTTAGAGCCTGCTTAAGTCCAGCTATAGACCTGCTTTAGTCCTGCTTTAGACCTGTTTCAGACCTGTTTTAGTCCTGCTTTAGTCCTGCTTTAGACCTACTTTAGTCCTGCTTTAGTCCTGCTTTAGACCTGCTTAAGTCCAGCTATAGACCTGCTTTAGTCCTGCTTTAGACCTGTTTCAGACCTGTTTTAGTCCTGCTTTAGTCCTGCTTTAGACCTAATTTAGTCCTGCTTTAGACCTGCTTAAGTCCAGCTATAGACCTGCTTTAGTCCTGCTTTAGACCTGTTTCAGACCTGTTTTAGACCTGCTTTAGTCCTGCTTAAGTCCAGCTATAGACCTGCTCTAGTCCTGCTTTAGACCTGTTTCAGACCTGTTTTAGTCCTGCTTTAGTCCTGCCCTATAGACCTGCTCTAGTCCTGATTTAAACCTGCTTTAGTCCTGATTTAGACCTGCTCTAGTCTTGATTTAGACCTGCTTTAGTCCTGCTTTAGACCTGCTTTAGTCCTGCTTTAGCCCTGCTTTAGTCCTGCTTTAGACCTGCTTTAATCCTGCTTTAGACCTGCTTTAGTCCTGCTATAGACTTGCTTTAGTCCTGATTTAGACCTGCTCTAGTCTTGATTTAGACCTGCTTTAGTCCTGCTTTAGACCTGCTTTAGTCCTGCTTTAGCCCTGCTTTAGTCCTGCTTTAGACCTGCTTTAATCCTGCTTTAGACCTGCTTTAGTCCTGCTATAGACTTGCTTTAGTCCTGATTTAGACCTGCTTTAGTCCTGATTTAGACCTGCTTTAGTCCTGCTTTAGACCTGCTTTAGTCCAGCTTTAGTCCTGTTTCGTCCAGATTTGTGGGATTTACGGCTCCACAATTTGAACCTCTCCAGTAAAAAGTTGGTGCCGTTTAAACAAACTGAAACACACTCAGAGTCTCGCTGTGGCAGGTTTATTCATATGGCACAGGTCAATCACCTTCTGTGAGCGGGTCCAGGGTGTGGATCATGAGCTGGAAGATGGTGTTCCTCATTGAGGCGTTGTGAAGCGACACACTGCTGCCCCCTCTCTGCAGAGCTGGACGTGTCTGAAAATCAGTCAAAGTCTTAAAACTCAAAGTACGAGTCCCAATATTTCAGACCCGCTCAGAAGGTCTGAAATGTCACTGTTGTCATGGTCTCTGACGATGTTTAATCCAAAAATTTGACAACGGTGTCTCCATCCATCCATCCATCCATTTTCTACCCTTTAATCCATTTCTGGGTCAGGGGGGTGGCAATCAGAGATGCCACCCAAGTCTCATAGCACCAGCCCCTCACTGACCCTCTGCAGGTGGTGAGTCCACAGGAGGACAGCTGCTCTCTGACTGTGAGCATAGCCTTGATCTTTCAGCGGGGGCTTTTGGGCTTTTAGTGTCTTGCCCAAGGACACAACGACAGCAGTCATCAGTGGGAGTCAGAGAAGGTGTGGAGGAACCCACAACCTTCAGGCCTAAAGGCCAGTGCTCTACTAACTGAGCTACTGTCGCCCCACAATGGAGTCTCAGTATAACATATTTATTTAGTCAACAGATCATTTTGAAAAGACTTTTATAGAAATACTGCAAACATAATATTGAGCATTGATTTTGGTATTTACTTTGACTTTACTCACTCTACTCGTTTTGCAGCCTGAGTCCTGGAATGGACAGGCACTTCCTGTGTTTGAACTGTTTGATTCTCTGATCTTTTGTTGGTGAATCGACTGCTGGTGTGGGCTATACACAGATACATTTAATTTTCCTTGATCCCACGTGTCATGCATCGTTGCAATAACCTTAAGTTATATCAGAATGTGCAATGACCTCATGTCACGTACAGATGCTAACATACTGCTGATAATGTACAGATGCTAACATATACAGAACTAAACATGGGGAGGCTGCTTTTCAGATTCATGCTGCTAAAATCTGGAACAGTCTTCCTGAAGATGTGAGACAGGCCTCCTCTCTGACAATGTTTAAAACCAGGTTAAAGACAGTTCTGTTTAGCTGTGCATACAACTGAGGGATTTTATGTTTTTATCTTTCTTTTTAATGTTCTGTGATTATTTATGATTTTAATGCTTTCTTGTTTTGTTCAGCACTTTGAATTGCCTTGTATATGAATTGTGCTATATAAATAAACCTGCCTTGCCTTGCCTTACAGTAACTACACTTGGCCTGCACTAGAATACACAGTACTTTATACGTGCCTCTTTTTGTCAAATGTAAAACTTTTACACCTCTTTTTATTATTATTTTCAAGATAGAGATTTTATACTTAACATCTCTAACATCTAGAGTTAGAGATGTTATTATTTTAATTATTTTAATTAGTATAGCTATAGTTCAATTAACTTGTGATTCAACACTGATATTTCCCCGATGTGGGACGAATAAAGGATCTCTTAATCTTAATCTGAATCTATATCTATATTTGCTAATAAGTGATCTTATGCCTTGGATGGCCGGGATGTCTTTATTTGACCAAGAAGGTGCACTGCGCAACTTACCAATTACTAAAGCCAGCCTAATTTTCAAGCATCAAAGTCAGAACTAATGAAACTAATGGTTACGAGTCTGGTGCATCAGACAGATATGGATATGTGAGTGTGTGGGGCAGTAAATACAGTGCAATTTTAGTCAATTTGTGTATTGTTTATCATAGTTTCTTCCTCAATATTTTACTTAATAATGGTTTTGTAACAGCATTTTGTTTTAGTTTTCTCTGGAGGAGCTCTCAGCACTGGGAGCCGTGGTCTGGTTCTTGGACCTGGTGCACGTTTGGAGCCTCGTCCACTGGGTCCTGTGGGGTCTGGCTCTTGCACCTGGTGGAGATCTGGAGACTAGGCTGAATACCTCTGGCTCCTGTGCCGTCCCCTGTAGCTGCAGACGGCTCCTCAGATGGTGCTTCCTCAGCCGTTTAGACCTACAGCCGCACTCAGCCTCATGATATTTACCTCGTTGACCTATTGTCGTGTGTGGCTCTGAACGCAAAGTGAGATGTAGATACTGTTTGTGGGTGGTTAACGGGTCAATGGCAAGTAGAATTTCCTCTCCAACCACTCAATGAGACTCATGCTCATTTCTATCTCTTTCTCCATTTATCCTCTATGTCAGCATACTTCCACTTAAAAATGTTGTCACACAAGATTACAAATGCGAGACAAAGCAGACAGCAGTCTAACCTTCACTTTGGAGCGGTCCATCTGGGGGTCCGAAGTGCGTCTGATTGTGGAGACCTGGCATTCTGGGTCTGGTCTGGACTCGAGTTTAGGTTCCGGAGCCGGAGGAGGAGGAGGAGAAGGGGGAGGGGGAAGAAGAAGGGCTGGGGCTTCAGTCACCTGACCATGAGAAAGAAAAGGCTACATCTAAGTGTTACAGTTACGCTGAATAGTTTACAAATGTTTTTTTGTATTTGTTACTCTGGATAGCACTCTCGCTGTCTGAGTGAAGTTAGCATGTTCTCCCCGTGTCTATGTAGGTTTCCTCCGGGTACTCCATTTCCCCTACCACTAAAAACATGAACAATTAATAAGTCCTGCAGCTCCTAAAAACAGTCAGTAATGAATGCACAATCAAAGACTCTGGGGATAATATCTGGACTTCTGAGTACAAACATCTAGAAAAACACAATCAGCTGCAGTTTTAATAGCTCCACCTCGCATCTGAGAGGATCATTAGGTCCAAAGCAGGGGCCCTTGAAACCTAGCCTGGTTGAAACACACCATAGTAAAAATTACATTTCGTACTAAGGTCTGGAGGTGCTCCATTGAGCTCCGTTTACAGGTGGGAGGGGTTAACTCCTTTTGCAGATTGAAACGATTGGATCTGAGTTTACCGTGACGTATGTCGTTAGCATTTAGCCTAGCCATCTCCTTTGCCCCTAACGGAGCCCGTGGGGAGTAGCGCCACATTTTTTTCAGCGATTACATTTGCTTAAGATTACTCTTGCTTCGACTTCAATTTCTTGATAGAACCAGACCGGATTGCGTTACTATCGCATTTTTTGCCATTGCCAAACTACAACCTTCCCGTTCGACGCAAACTCTTCACGTCACCCACAACTAACTACAACACCAGCCTTCCGCGCTCTCTGAATGGTCGGTCGAAATTCAAGTGATTGTAATCGCTAACACAGGGACCAGACCCAGACGTTACATGCAGTGAAATGATCATTGAGCGGAGTGTACGGATGGCTAAGGCCAGGCTACCTGAAGGCCTGATCCCCATTTTTAACTCTTTCTGAACAAGAGCAGGCAGGTCAAGCGGATATGCATTATTCCGTAGAACTACTGGTAACTTCTGTAACTTCCACACATGCATCTTCCACACATCCTCTGTGTGGGACCTGTGTCTGTCCTCTACGTAATAGTTGGGCCATATAAGTGAGGCATGGTGGCTGAGTGGATAGCACTCTCGCCTCTCAGCAAGAACGTCCTAGGTTCGATTCCCGGACCAGGGCATTTCTGAGTGGAGTTTGCATGTTCTCCCCGTGTTTGCGTAGGTTTCCTCCAGGTACTCTGGTTTCCCCTACCACTAAAAATTTGTACAACTGGTCTGGCATGCACCTCCTGTACTGGCTACCCTGCTCCCATCTGTGTGTGGAGTGAGAGGACAAATGCCCAAAAAATAACAATTGTAAACCGACCTGCTGTGACTCTGGTCTGTGAAAGGTGGTATATAAATAAAGATTACTTACTTACTTACACAGGCACTGGATGACAGTTAATGATTGAAAGGGCTTTGACTGAAAAGTTAAGCTAATGTTATAACTCTTTTGTTTAGCGTCAACAATCTAACGTCAACGAGTCCCCACACAAAGGAGACGACAGAAGTGTGGTCAAAGTGCTAGTTATAAAAGACTGAATTAAGCTGTCCACATGTATCACAATGAGCTTTATCCTGGACCACGCATTAGTACGAGCTGCTTCCTGATAGTTTGTCTGTTCTTCTTATTCTGTAGTATGTTGTGATGTATTTATGTTCTGCCATATGTTCTGGATTACAGAGTAAACGCATGTTCTAAATTGATGTGTCGTCAAGTCGGATTCATTTAACATATTATTGCGTCAGTTACATGGTGTTTCAACCACCACAGATCCTGAATTTGAAAGGCAACCTCACTGGACGTTGGCAAAACTGGCTTCAGCGCTTTGAACTTTTTTGCACAGCTAGCAGCGTCACAGAGAAGTCAGAAAAAGTGCAATGCGTGACATTTTTACATGTCGCTGGAAAAGAGGCAATGAAACTATGCAACACATCTCAATTTGCAGATGCAGACAAGGACAAAGTTGCTGCGCTCAAAAATACGTTTCAAAGATATTGTGATTCTATGGAGACATGAATGCTCAATGTATGTACAGCACATATGTGACATTATAACATTGAGCTTTTTTCTGTATGTTTTTACCGCATGTGCCACTATCTGTTACTGGATATATCTCATATATCGCTCCATGTACAGTACAAACACTATATGGATCATGAAGCTGGCTGTGAATAGACTGGTGCTAACGGTTTCGCTGGTCCGATCGTGGCGTCTGCAGAGAAGTGGTGCCTCTGACATCAAAGTGCCTGCACCTGCTGCGTTCACACTCGGCCATTGTTCCCGCGGCTCCATTCAGCTCCGCATTCTACACAGAGTAAGGCTTTTTTCAGCATTCATATTTTACTACTGTGTCTGACCTGCTCTGCTCTATAACTTTCTTTGATGATATTGTCATTTTGGGGTGCGGGAATTGACTTACATTAAAAAATGTTTTAAATACAGTACATCAAATGTTTTCAATTATTAATTGATCACTTAAAAAAAACTAAGAGGTGAGGAATGCCATAATGGTGAAATCTAGGTCTGGATAATGTTCGTTCTGGTCTCTGCTTCTCAGGGGTGTAGTTTAGCCGAGTCGTACTGAAACTATGTACAACAAAGGAGTACATAAAGAGTTTTCAGAAAAGCCATAACATCAGTTCTATTTCAGATGTCAGTGTCTGGAACTTTTAATATTCACTGGTAAGCTTGAACAAATGCCATTCTTTATAGTTGGACGATGCTGACCCGCTAGCTCACTGAAGCCTGATAGAGAGACTCTTATGAATTAAGTTTTGCTCCAACTCGCTCTGGCTCACATGACTTGCATGTAAAAGTAACCTCCTCTTGCTCAGATACCAGCGCTCTCTTAGATCCTGGTGTGATATTGTCATTTTGTAAATCCAGATGAGTCATTTAAGGATTGACCAATCAGGTGGCTTCTCTTTCAGGGGAAACTCCAGCTTGCCATAGCAACCGTCTTATGCCGCGTTCAGACCGGATCATGCGTTGTGTCAGCTTTCAATGCAAAGTCAATGGTGACGCGCGTTCGAGCGTCAAAACGTACGAACGTCTCGGAATGCACGCACGGACTGCGCGGGAAAGTCGAAGGGGAGGAGCAGGAGCGGAAAATCGACGAACGCAGGAGATGAATTTTGCTGAGCCTTTCCTTGGAACATTCGTGCAGCGACCAATCAGAGAGCCGCAAAGTGGTCTCGAGGACATTAGCGGTCTGAGCGAGCAGACTGAAAATACTCGTAAACAGCCAAAACAGGAGCTACACCAGGACTAAACCAGGGTTGACAATGGGGGACTGTGTGCTTGTTAACATGTGAGTTTTTATGCAACTGCTTCGAGTGTGTTTGCCAATGCGGAAGTACCGGTTAATAATAAAATAAACTTATTGCGCACCTCCGTGAACACATACTACTGTTATATAAAGTCCGTGGAAGGTCTCTGAACACAAACACGCTGCAAAGCTGCATTATTGGAGAAGATCTTTACACAAGAAGCCGCTAGCTATACTCTATTAGCATCAAAGCCCGTCGGCTACTTACGCCACTTCCGGCGTGTGCCAGGACCTCTGGTCTGAAGACGCCTGCGTCTCAAAACTAGAGAATGTCCGTTTCAGCGTTGGCGGTCTGAAAGCACTATTAGCAACACGTTTCCTTGTTATGACGCAAGGTTAACATCGTCGGAAAAAATGCTAGCTTATGTTCAAACCGGCTTCATCCGCATTTGGCTAACATTATGGATGACGTCAGCACACAGTCAGTCCACACCTAATATACGGACCTTACTGTGAAGTCTCCGGTGTGTGACAAGTGTCTTTTTTAGTAGAATCTCCTAATATCTGCTCTGAAATCTTGTATTTAAAAAGAAGAGGAAGAATCCTCACGCAGTAGATATCTAAAATAAATCATCATATGCAGTAAGATAACTACTGCATACCACCTTTATTACTCCCAGAATAAATAGATTTTTCTAAAGAGCCCCTGAAGACTGGAACTTCTCTCTCAATAGACATTCCAAAAGAAATAAATAAATAAGTACATTCTTCCATCTCACCAAACACGGAACACTGAAGGCTTAGAAGGTTTTGACAATAAGACAAACGTGTAAAGAAACAAATAGTACTTATTGCTCGATATATTTGGGGGGCAGACTTCTGCCTTCGTCAGAAAGACTGAAGGCAAGTAGTTAAGCAGTACTACCTTCTTTACAATGTTGTCATGTTCTTGTAAGAACTTTCTAAGCCTTAAACATAAGGAGACATAATCAACTTTATACTTTTTACGGAACACTGAATCCTGACCTTATCCGGCTCCTCTGCGCTCCAGGCTTGTACCGTGCTCTTGCGTTTCCCAAAGCACTTCTTCACTGCTCGCTCAATCTGAGCGTTAAACTTCATGAACGTCACGTAGGAGAAGTAAGCAGACACCAGCACGGCGCTCTCCCACCACCGAATGGCGTTGTCCAGGAAAAATACAATCAGCATCATCAAGTCCAGGATGTAGAAGGTGACGTCGCGAAACAACGGCCACCACGTCAAGTGCAGCATCTCCCGTGAGGAGATGGCGCACATTCCAATCACAAAGAGAATGTTAAACACGGCCGAACCCACAATTGTGCCGATACCGATGTTGCTGCGCGCTATGAAGACGCCGATCAAAGACGTGAAAAGTTCGGGAGCAGATCCGCCAGCCGCCATGAAGGTTGCTCCGGCAACGTCGTCGGAGATTTGCAGTTTTTCGGTGATGACCTCCAACGCCGGAACGAAGAACTCATCGCAAACGATTGCCAAAGCCACAAACATGTAGATCATGCCAAAAACGTGGAACACAATCCAGCCGCGCCGCCGCTGCTCCAGAGAAAACAGGTCCAGCGGGTACTCTCCCTTCCTACAGACACAAGACATGGTCAAATACAAGCTATTATCCTCAAGTCCAGTTTTTATTTATTTGAGTTGCACATAAATTTACATGAAACAATGTAAATGTGGGCAAAGTTGGCGGAGGATGGTTTATAGTCCGTCCGTCCGTGAGAGCAGATACCTCCCTCGATGTGGGCCTCCCCTAGGTTTCTCATTTTCTCCAACTGGGTTTTTAGAGTTTTTTCTTGCTGATCCAGTACACTCAAAATTCAACATTTATTTCCTTATATTTATCATGACCTGTCATCAACGGCTGAACCAACGGCACTATGGGATTGTTATCATTGCATTTCTTGTGTTTGATTCTCTGATTGGTGTTGACAAATTCCAAAGTTTTATAAAGTCCTACCGTTGTATTTTAGGGTTTTACAGAAACAAATAGAATTGAAGTGGTATTCAGGTCTAATGGTTGTGGGTTCAATCCCCCCACAAGATCTTCTCCATCGACTCCAACTAATGTATTCTGTCATTATGTCCTTGGGCAAGACACTTAACCCCTCTCTGCCGGAAGCCCCTGCTGAAGAACCAAGGTTATGATGGAGAAGCCATCCTTCTGTGGACTCACCACCTGCAGGAGGATCAGCGAGGAACCAGTGCTCTGAGAAATGTGTGGCAGCTCTAATTGTGACACATTTTTACCGCCATGCCCCTTCATAATCTGGATTGACAACAAGGCAATTATTTAATTTCCCATCGCTGCCTTGGGTCTAGCTGACACTGGTGTGGCTGCAGATGGACGAGATAGAGCTGGGACTATAGTTTGAGTTACCTCTTAGGGATTTCCTGGGTCATACCTCTTGGGAGATGTCTCACTTTCATCTGAGGCCTCAGCTTTGTCCACATAGATGCAGGTCTGGATGTCGCTCCGGTTCACAGGGATCACCACTGGAGGTCTGCTCTGGTCCTGGTCCTCAACTGCTACTTGGAACTCCTCTGGCTCCTAAAATGTGTTGAAATGGTAGAGAAATGTAGAACATGTTGAGAAAACACTTAGGCTTTCATCCCCACCGCTGTCAGACTGTACAATAAGTCACTTTAGGTCACTGTATAATACTGACAAAAACCTGCACTAATATTGACACTATCTCTGATTGGCACTTTTAAATTGCCACTTTTTATTGTACATAATATATCCTGCATTTAACATGTTTGCACATTTCCTCTCTTTTTGCACAATCTTGAGTGTTTCTAGCCATGCCAGATGTGACGTGTAAATTTCTCCTTTGTGAGATCAATAAAGAATATCTTATCTTATCTTTAGACTGTATTCCCATTTGTGAAGAGGACATGTGCATAAAGATCTAGCTTATTTGCCAAATTTCCCTTACTAAGCGAAATATGAGGTCCATGAATCTGAATCCAGGGAGTTATAAATTCTGTATAGTGGGCGCAGATCACACTGTTGAATTGTGAACACTGCACGATAAATTTTACCAAAAAGTAACTGTCAACTTTATTATTTTGCTGTATTTATCCTTACCGGGTCCTGGTCCAGCTCCTGGTCCAGACCTGGGTTTAGGTCCGGGTTCAGATCTTGGTCCAGATCTCTTGCTTTTACATTCACTGAGTTTTGACCTTGAGTTTTCAAGGACAAGAGGTAGAACCAAACCAGGACCAACGAGACCACAAAAAAAACCACACGGCCAAAGCGCAGCCTTCTCTGCCGGTAAGTCCCCATGCTGCCTCCTTGGTCCAGTCCTAACTCTGGTCTGGTCCAGGCCTAGCGCTGGTCTGGTCCAGCCCTTGCTCTGGTCTTGTCCAGTGCTGGTTCAGTCCTCCTGTTGGTCCTTCATGATTTGGACTTTGGACCAGTGTTTCCAACAGATGTGGCCTGTGGAGATCAAGAAAAAAGCTCAGCTGACTTTCAAAACATTTGGAATCTGCTTCAAATCATTTTCAGGAGTTAAAGCTCATTGAAGCCAACAGTCTGTTAAATCTCACACCAGCTTTTGACCCTCTATCAGACACAAGGGGACACCAGGAACCTCTGCCGTGGTTCTGGAACAGGGAAAGGCCATGGTTATGGCCCGGACCAAGGTGCTTGTCCTCTCCAGGTGGTGCAGAGGTGGAGGGGAGCGTGCAGCGTCTGCATGTTCCCATGTTCCACGTCTGAGTGGGTTTGGATTTCTTCATCAGCCTAAAACGTGCTCAAGAGGCTTAAAGATCCTGACTGTGATCCTCAAGCTCAGATCTGCAGCCCTCACTCAGACCATTGTAGTCAACAAGTGTCTGACAGTTACATTATGTCTGGTACACCTGGAAGTAGAATGAAATCCAGAATGTGCCAAAATAAAACCACAGAAACAAGAGGAAATAATCCAAGGAACTCCAAATCATAAAAAACAGGGCCCACACAGCCTTCTTCAGGTTATGTCAAGGGCTCTGTTTTACTGCTGACCCTGCAGAAACCTCATGCAATCTGATTGAATGCTCACGCAAGAACGCTGAGAGTTTTTCTTAAACTTAACTTGACCTGAATACCGTCTACAAATACATATTTTTTTAGACGATACAACAGCTTATACACTGAATGCTGGCACTATCACTGTAGCCACAGCTGCCCTGGGTCAGACTGAAGGAAGAAACAAGGTTGTTAGTCTGATCCCCTCTGACCACCACCTACTTTACTAATGCAACTAGATGTTCTACTTAAGAAGTTCTACACGTTCTAATCTCCAAAAGATAGCTCTGATATTTGACAGTCTTACAATTGGCCCTTCATCAAGTCGTTTTGTATAAAGCCAGATCTAAAAATTCAAAAAACGTACAATAACAAAATATGTTGAAGATTGTAGCTCGAGGAACACAACCTGTGGTCAAAATTTCAAATCAGAGATATCTGAACTTTTCACTTGCAATACTGACTTTATAAATATAAATAAATGATTATTATAAATTCTGAAACCATTTATACATTTTAGATTTATAAAAAAGCTAAAACATCTCAATGAGACTTCCTGGTTACATCATAGACCCAAATGTATATTTATCCGTAAATTGACTATTTTCTCCAAACAAACAAAATAAGACATGTTTGTTCTCAAAAGAATAGAGAAATAGTCATTGAGCTGAGAGATGTTCCATAAAAATGACGCAAATGGATACTCACTCGAGCACTTTGTGAATGAGCCATTAAAACATGATTGAAACAATAATATATAAAACATGCAAAAAATTCTATTGACCATCATCTGCTCCAGATGCTTTCTACGTCCGCTCTCCCCCAGACCCACCTTTTGCTCTGCAGCCTCTTCTTCCCTCCGCACCGGTCTCTGCTACGCTCACCTGCTCCACGACGGATCCATCCTGACTCAGGCGGTCTGAGGGGTCTGAGGGGGTTTGAGGCAGTCTGAGGGGTCTGTGGGCTCTGAGATGCTCTGTTGGGTCTGAGGGGTCTGAGGAGCCAGGACTGGTGCTGACGCTGGAGCGCAGCTGTTAAGAGGATTATCTCCAATCAGAGAGTGAGCTGAATGAGACCCCCGCACTCCCTCTCTCTCTCTCTCTCTTGTACAAACACAGGCGCACACACACACACATAGACGCACACATGCACACAAACGCACACACATTTGATGTCGTAATTTCACATTGTGTTCAGGACATTTGGCTGTTTGTTGTATAATGAGCTCAACTTAAAGGGTACCTAGCTTTCAACCCACAAACAAAACATCCCCAATAAAATCCATGCCAGTATTTATTCTGAGCTCAAAGTGTAAAAGAGTGACTCACAGGGCTATGTATACTAAATCTAAGTGTTTGAAGCTATACAACTTTGCTTTTGAGTATAATTATTCTATATATTATTTGGATGGTGGTTAGAATTGATGTCTCTTAGACTGGTTCCTGGGTTTTTCTGTGTAGAGTTTGCATGTTCTCCCCGTGTGAGTGAGTTTCCTCCTTGTACAGTTGCGCTCTGTTGATGAACTCTCTACCCGTCCTGCTCGAGGGTCCAAACCTCCGTGGCTGACACCCCCCTGACTGTGACCGAGTGTGCCATGTGAGAGTGACATCACAGTTTATGTGGTCTCAAACATGTGGCCTGTGGTGTGAATGGAAAGATTAACACCCTGAGTTTTGTGCGAGCCTGATGACACACAGAGAGCGTTTGACGCCCAAACACACTCCTTCAGGCACCTTGTTGGAACTTGGCTCAGTTGGTAGAGCTTTGGCCTTTGAGCCTTAACATTGTGGGTTCAAATCCACCACAAGACCTTCTTCACCAACTTCACTGATGTCTACTGTCATTGTGTCCTTGAATAAGATACTTAACCCACTTTGCCTTCTATACTTTTTTCAGATTTTTACAAATTTCATTTATATTTTTTATTGTGAAATAATATGGGAGCTAGTGAGAAAAAGTAACTTCCCTTGTGGATCAATAAAGTCTGTCTCAGTCTAGGTCTACAGTATAAGGTGTGTATCTGAGAATGTGTATTAATCAAACTGAAATATCCCCATTGTGGGATGAATAAAGGACTTTCTTCTTCTTCTTCTAATCCAATACAAAACTTTATCCTGAGGTGGAGGAGCTGTGGTTGATGCTCAGGAGCTCGCAGCAGGTGGAGGAGCTGTGGTTGATGCTCCGGAGCTCGCAGCAGGTGGAGGAGCTGTGGTTGATGCTCAGGAGCTCGCAGCAGGTGGAGGAGCTGTGGTTGATGCTCCGGAGCTCGCAGCAGGTGGAGGAGCTGTGGTTGATGCTCAGGAGCTCGCAGCAGGTGGAGGAGCTGTGGTTGATGCTCCGGAGCTCGCAGCAGGTGGAGGAGCTGTGGTTGATGCTCAGGAGCTCGCAGCAGGTGGTGCCCGTTTGCTAATCTGAGGTCCGGTCCTTCCAAATAAAGGAAGGACTATTTTGGGAGTTTTCTCTAATCTTGTGTTTGTCCCTAATCCATCGGCCTCCTCCATCTGTGCAGCTGAACAATCAGAGTGTATATAAGGAGTGGACTGACCGAGTGCGACATCACCATAGTGGGAGCCTTAATGTTAAAGAAGCCCATTTGAACACACGCTAGCTGGAGCTATTTTGCTTATATAAAAAATATAAGCAAAATGTTATGGTGCAAAGCATAACAGGGGCAGATGTGTTGCTAAGGCAGTGATGCTGTTTCTTTAACCAGAATATACATCATTTTGATATTGATTTATCAAAAATAATATGGCATGTTATACATCATTTTGAAGCACAGAAAATGCAACTATAGCAAACACACAGGAGCCATTGGTCCATAGGGAGTGGGATAACCACTGTCTTGAAATGTTAATACATGTCCATAAATGTCCTTCAATGTAAATAAATAAATCTAGAAATAGATAAATCACTGTCCTTAGACCCTCCTGCAACAGCAAGAAACAACTCAAAAAGAGTGAGAAACCTTGGGAAGGCCTAGATCCAGGACTCAAGCTTTAGAACTACTTTCCTTTGGCTTTCTTGTTTTTGTCTCTGTAATTAAGAACAAATGTTGACTCTATCTATGGATATATTAAAAAAATTAAAATATGGGGTTGTTTGAATGATTGGGTTTCAAACATTACATCATTCCAGGAGCTAAACTGTGTGTGCAGTTTTAGTGTTTTATTCCATCCCTCTATGTGCATCGAACTTTGCTCCAGTGTTAGTGACAGATCTGTGAAAGAAATTCCCCTTCAGCTTTACCCAAACTTGACATTGTGTGGCCCCCAGCTAAACTGAGTGCAAGACCCCTATCTTATGTTTTTGTGCATTATGACCCATCATAAACACAGAGGTACATACTGGCTCAGTCCGGGTTAGAACCTGGTTTCCTCCCGCTTTTGTCCTTGTCTTCAGAAGTGTAGCTCATGATACTTGGATCAGATTTCATCTTTGGATCTTTGACAAAAGTCACCAGATGTGTCTTGTCCTTAAGCTTTATTCTGTCTGTTTACATAAGCACATCTTTGAACCTCCCCGAGGACAAATCCTGTTTCACCGTAATGTCATTATGAAACTGTCTAATCTGGCTCATGTTTCCAGAGCATGAGAGAACTGGTTGTCATTGTTTGTATTTGTACATAATATCGCTTCCGCATGCCACACTCTTCACTGTACCTGCTGAAGAAAAGCATTGACATGATACTGCCATACCCTTTTTTCTCTCTTTAGTTGATCTAGTGCACCTTGAGAGATGAGCAGTGTTAGCTTTGAGCTATATATAACATTTTTGGCCAAATAGAAAATCTGACTCTTTTGAGAGCCTTTCTTCCTGACCTTTTTGGAGCAAAAAAAGTTCAGAAAAATAGTGGAAATACTAAAGCTGCGTGAGGTGTGACACGCCGGCTGCCTTAGATTTCAGCACAAGCCTATTATAAGAGTTGTCCAGCAGAGTGCACTGGTTTTAAAACATCCATCCACTCCAACAAAGATGCAAATCAGAGGCCACATGCACTCTCTCACTCGCATAAGGACAGTGGGCGAGCGAGGGGACATGGTGAGACTGTGGCCGACAAGACAGTGTCCGCTTCAGTCAGAGTTTGTCTCTGACTGTTTGACTTTGAGGTGAGGGTTGAAAAGTCTGATTTACAAAGACCAGACCTGGATCTGAATATTAAGCAGTGTTGATATACAGTATGCTACTAACGTGAAAACAGATGGACAGTTTATGCCAAGTATGCCAAGGAATTCATAATTATTACTTGTTAAATTCATGTCATGTCATTCCCCTTTATTAATCAATTTCTGGGTCGGGGGGGGGGGGCACAATCAGGGCTGCCACCCAAGTCTCACATATATCTAGAATTGAATCACTTTCATTATACGCTGCTTCACTAACCAGTATATTTATCTTCTTTAGTTCTAACTATTACTACTATTAATACCAACACCACTACTACTACTACTACTACTTATATTCCCTCACATTTGGGGCTAACATCAATTGTAAAGAGATCAAGTTATAAACCGTTTTATGTTCTCACGTACCTTAGAATGTTGGATCAGAGAGACTTCTGGTGGTGAATTCAAGTGAAAAATCACTGCTTTTGGATGAAACACAAACGTAGACAAATGGTTGGCTTTGTGTTTCCTGGACAGAGCGTGTGTGGGAGTAATTACTTTAATGCAGTGTTTTTTAACCAGTGTGACATGGAACCTTAGTGTGCATTGAGATTTTGTATGACGTGCTTTTGGAAATGGTCCAATGTCCCCTATTTTGTCAAAATAAAATGAAAAAAAAAATAATGTGAGAAGATTGAAAATACTTGTTTGCGCTTGTTTGAATTCCAATATAATACACTTTGATGAACTTTTAGCTGCTGGTGTGCCGCATGATTATTTTCAATGTAAACGGTGTAAGGTTGAGGAACGCTGCTTTAATGTATGGCCTCACACAAAAGCAAAGGTACAACAGTGACGTGACCTCCTGCTGGGACTCTGAGGAGCACAGGGACTGCCCTCCGGTTAGTGCCGAATATCAGGACTAAACATGGTGAGACAGTTAAAATCTGGAACAGTCTTCCTGATAATGTTTGTCAAGCTTCTTCTCTGACAATGTTCCAATCCAGGTTAAAACAATTCAGTTTAGCTGTGCATAAACTGAGGGATTGCATCGTCACTACTCTATTGAACTGAGATTATTTTATTTCCTTGTGTGATTTTAATCTTGTTTTGAGAGTCTTTGTCTATGCACTGTGCTGTACAAATAAACTTGCCTTGCCCAGTCTCAATAGTCAAAAAGTATTAAATTCATACCTCTTGTAAAAACAAAACATCATTTATTTTTTTCACCAAACGATACATTTCACATCCGCATCAACAGGGCAATGGTGTAGGTTTGGTTCCAATCTTGGTGGGGACATTCACTACGACCTGAGTCTACACCCATTGACACGGGGTCCAGAGTTTCTCCCCCAGAATTTGTTGTGTAATCACACACTATATTTGCAATAGTGTGTTGCCTTCTATACTAAACTCAGCTGTAGACTGAATGAGAAGCAGTTAGGGATTTTTTCTAATAGTTAAAACAAAATCAATTGGATCAGAGCTTCTGAGTTTTGTGTTGCGTTCATTCTAACTTTGTCCACAAGATGGCTTAAATGTTTATAATAAATAAGATAGTAAATATATCCTGTATTCAGGATCAGGCTGATATGGTTTACAACCTATCTCAAATATGCTGTCCCTGGCACTGTCTTGAGAGTGACTCTCATTGGCTGCCTCCTAAATAGCAAATACACTGTTATGAAACTTATGAAAATCCCATATTTTATCTTCATAATTCCAGCCTCACCTGAAGCCTCACCTTCGATATCTGCCTGCACTACATCTTCCCTGAATACCTGAGTTCCCTATAATAAATAAAACACATGTAGTACATTAAACAAATCAGATCTAAGCATATACAAAATAAAACCACCAACCAAACCAAATAAATACTTTCAACCTCACCTGAAGCCCTGAAGGTCCAGCCACTTCCTCATCCTCTACCAGCACTGCACATTCCCTGTTTGTCTGACTTTCCTTTATGGTATTAATAAAAACACACATTCTACATTGAATAGAATGAAACCTAGGCATGGTACACCAGTCGCTAAATATCTCATGAAACTAGGATTGGTTGATGGGTCTAAGATTTTAACTGCTTAATCCTAACCTCACCTGGAGTCCTGTCTTGTCCTTGTCTTTATCTCCTTCTTGAATTTCCATTATATCTCTCAGAGTGTCCTATATTTAGTAAAAGATTTCAGACAACCCTTTTTGCATCATTATAGTAGTAAAATATGTTGTAATTGGCATAGGTAATTTCCAACCAAATGATGTTCTTTAACTTTAGTATGATTCTATACTGACTTAAACCTCATCCAAATCTACATAATAGTCCTCACCTGAGGCTCTAACAGTTCAGGAACTGCTCTCGATACTTGAAATAAATCATGCTCTGATCTTTCAATTTCCTATAATAAATAAAAACAGAGGAGAAAATATTGAATTAGAATCTACAGTGAGTAGCTCACTACATTGTTTGACATATACAATCAATCTCTAAAAACAATTCATATTCCCATGCATACCTACAAAATTCCAACCTCGCCTGATGCACTGAAGGGCCTGTTGCTTCTACCTCAACATTCCCTATATTGTTCTCTCTTGTTGGTTGAGTTTCCTATGTATGTTAACAGAAGATTAATCATCACAATTCATAATTTGCTATTACTTGTGCTTTCTCTTACTTACTTTCCAACTGTTAAAAAAGCTCCTGATATCTTTTATCTTTCTTTGTGGAGGTGGCATTTTTTCTAAATTATATAAGAAGGTATAGACAATCAAAAACAGACATTCATATACATGAACTGCAGAATCATTTATATAACTTGGCCAATGTCAAAAGTTACATAGTATTTCTCAATACAATGAGTTAACAAGAGTTTGGCAATAAGTAACAGTGTGGATTTTTCTATATTTTCTTTTTTTTATTCCACTCTCTACCCAAAAAGGCAAGTAATGACTCACAGGGTTCTCAAGTATGCAAAATAAAAACTTAAATGACCTGTTGTTGTGTGTTTTGCGCACAACCAGCATGCATCGTTAACGCAATGGAAAATTTAGGTATCCGAGCTTTAATTTCGGGACCGCTGGTTGCGCTTTGGGAAGAGTCAGGGGAGAGACATGTCAGAGACACAGGGGAGAAACGGGGGAGATACGAGGGAGACCCGCACTTGCAACATGGTTCTGTCTGCATATGGTCCGAGCTCGGTACCATGTTAGAGCTGTACTTTCACTGAGCGCCGCGGCTGTCATTACAAAGCGGCAGCAGCTGCACAAGGACGTGCACATTCGAGTGCATCGCTTGGATGTGCTTAGAGCAAATAACAGCAAGTGCCCGCTGTCACACATTTCACAGAAATTACATTATCAGCAGATAAAGGTTGTAAATCGTGGATCCGTGGAATATTTTCATCCCTAGTTTATCCTGATTCACACAACACACCCACTTATACATTTTGGATAGTAAGAGCACAATAAGTATTTTTTCAGCCTTTCAACCAACCTGTTTCTTTATTGGAGCCAGTTCTGTTCTGTCTCTGTGCCGTGTGAGCTCCTCGGAACATTAAACAGTGCGCTGACAGATTAGAAATAACGTAAATACTTTGAATGGTAATAGATCTACAGTACTTTCCTCTGATTACTCACGTGCTACAACGCTCAGGGAACAAAAAAAAACACTTGCTTCACGCTGGCTAACTTTTAAAAATTAAACAGTTGCTCAGTGCTTCAGTTTGGCGCTGAAGAAGACAGCCAATCACTGCAGAGAACGGAACGGGTCACGTGCTGCTGCTGCTGCTGTTGCTCTGGAGGCGAGGAGGAGGCGCGACGTATGCACAAACGGAAGACATGTGTCCCGGACCGTCCGGGTCACGGGACATCATGTCATTTTGGTGGGGACTTTTTAGTCCTCACCAAATATTGGTGGGGACATGTCCCCATGGTCCCCACGCAAACCTACGCCCTTGCAACAGGGCATTCATGCTTTTTCACAAATAAGCTTTTTATTTAGTCTCAAAAAAGGGAACACATCAGATCACAACATGCGGTCCTCATCTAATTAGAAAAGATGTTATCTTGTACATACTTGTAAAGAAGAACTGTGTAAGCAACTATTTCATGCTTTAGGCCGAGAGCTGATTGGCCAGAGGAAGTGTGGTCCTCTCTTTCTCTCTTTTCTGTCTGAAAAAGCTGATCTGAAATCAAGACATAGGCCAAAAATACATGAATGTGAAAAATAGGGAAAGACGCCAACCATTTCGGGAGCTGTTGAAAGGCGACAACAGGTTGTATAAACGAATTATGGAAAAATAAAGAAAAGGACATGTTCTGGTCCGGTTTTAGACCTGTCCATAAACCATTACATACTGTAGACCACAAACCGGATTAGGTTCGTAGAACATCGTAACGTTTCTTGGCCCAGATCATGCGAGGCAGTTTGACATCCGCTCGCTCTTTGATGGTGATCATGTCCCAGGAATACTCCGGAGACAGCACCTTTGACGGTTTATTCAGCCAGAAATATTTGTTCAAGTGGCTCTCGTCGTGCCATAAGGCCTCCACGTTGTTCTTCTTGTCTTCCATGATTCCATCGTAGCAAAAATCGACCAAAGCTTTGACATTTTGCCACTTCCCTCCAAACAGTGCCGCGTGGTAGTAGTAGTCTCCCGTCTTCATGTATGCTTTGGATCTTGGATTTCGGTCGTAAGAAAATATGCTTTTGCTCTGGTTGAAGAAATGCGGGTGTAAGACTGCCACGGACTCTGCCAACGCCTCGGTTCCAAATCTGGCTTCAAAAATACTGTCCACGTCCAGACAGAAGACGTACGGATGCTTGTAGCTGATTTGCAGGTCTATAACTTTGGAGATGGTTTTCATACGCATCATGGAGATGTCCTGCCAGCGGGAGTGGCGTGGTGCATACATGACTTTCATGGTGCGTTCAGGACCCAGTTTGAAATCAGGGACTTCTTCTGGAGTGTCTGTGAATATGTAATAAGTCAAGGGGATTCCGGTCATGAAGTGTTTTTCTGCAGAGATCATGAAACCTTTCAGGTAGGCCTCCAGGTAACTGCAGCAGAACAGACAATAGAGATCAGATATTAGGTATTATTGGACATTGAAACAATAATAAGATAAGATACTCCTTTATTGTCTCCTATTAATTGTCATTTCATGTTTTAGAAATTGAAATGATATCTGTAGTCCAAAATATATGGAGAAAGGGTGAAAAATGCCTTCTGTCTGTAACCCTCCATGCTACCACTAGAGGGAGGAGTTGGAATTGTTATTATTTGTTTTCGCAAATCCTGATATGTGAGGCTGTCCTGTGGAGTTTGTCTAACCTGTGTTTTTGGCAGACGTTTGAAAATAGAATATTTTCAAACCTCTGAATTTGTTGAGTTTATGGGCCGTACCTGCCGATGGCGAAGACGGTCAGAGCCACAGAGGAGTTGGCCGCAAGATGCGCTCGGTCGTACAGCTCTCCACGGAAAATCCCCTCCCACATGATGGGGGCCTTCCAGGGGGTCCGCGTGGGCACGTCCAGCCGAGCTCTACACCGCAAACACAAACAGCTTCATGTCAAAACAATGGTATTATGAAGGCAATTTCTGGGTCTACAGCCTTTTGTCAAGGACATAATTCAGAATTTGACCAGAAAAGAAGACCAAGAATATTTATTGAGTTCAAATAAACAATATTTAATTCTCTTAACAATTAAATACTAATACAAACTCCGAGCTCCTATGTTCCCCCATCTATCCCTATGAGCTAAGCTAAATTAATTGTCCCTACAGGCCTGTAAGGTCAGCAGGCACTCTGTCAAGACCCCTCTCCGTCCCTGGCTCAGACTGACTAACAATGTCCTACAAAACAGTTTTATGAAAATGTGTAGAAGAAGAGGAAGTGCCCCCAAAGACGTCATTTTTGCTTCATATATGGTAAGACCCCAGGACTGGAAGTCCATTTCCTGGACTGGTCTGTGTCCTGCGGTCTGATTCCCATACTCATAGCGAGACAAGACTCCCACTTTTCTGAAAGAACATTAGAGATACAAACTCCAAGGCTCTCTGCACTGAACTCTGTAAACTCTCTGACCTCAGGCTAATATGAAAACACATCATATAAAAACGCTTTGATATAAAACATTAGTATAAAAACACTTTACGGAGACCGTTCATGATTAAATATAAAAAATCCTATTTTCATAGATGTTGATTCATGGATGAAGTGTATCGGCATGAGCTGTATTTAAAATATACAAACTTCTGTCCTGGTTCTACGGCCCCAGTCCTGTATCTACAGCCTCAGTCCTGAATCTATAGACTCAGTCCTGGATCTACAGTCTCAGTCATGGATCTATCTACAGCCTCACTTTTGGATCTATAGCATCACTCCTGGATCTTAAGCCTCAGTCCTGGATCTACAGTCCCAGTCCAAGATTTCCCGCTTTAGTTGTTCCTTGCTGATGCAACATCACTAAGGACAGTGATGATCCATGTCACTTGAAGACAGTGGTCACCCCGCTGCCTATGGACCAATGACTGCTTGATGATTGTTTTCATAGCCTTTCCTGTGTTCACACTGTTTGATTTTCCTATCTGTTGATGACTAATAGCTTTGTAAAGTCCTCCAAGATAACTGCTATTGTGATTTATTAAGTGAGAAAGTGGGTATTGGTGGCAACACTGATGCCAGGCAGATAAAGAATAATTTCACTACTAGATTACTCTAAATAAAGCAATTAAAATGATCTTGATTGTAGGTGTGTATATTGTCGTCGTTCTCTCATTTTTGCTCATAATGTATGCCGATAAACACAGTTCTGCTCTTCTTCCTGGAAAGTCCTAAAGTTGTGAATCATCCAAATATCTTTGACAGCGCTCACAAAGCACAATGGCCCCGACTGTTCAGACCGGTTTTTATAATCCCATGGAACAAACAGTGTTTTTTAACGTATTGCCTATTCTTAGCCTTTGTCAACGCAGATTCTGAGAAGAAAACACACAGCAGTGTGTCCCGTGGTCAAAGGTGCAAGGATGGTGACAGATACAGAAAGATATGAGAATTTCAAATGTATGAATCGTTCTGAATCATTCTGAATGCAATTTGAATTGAACACCTGTGACCCTGTCCCCCTGGGACTACCGATGAAAATCATGGATCAATCAGCGACCGTACCGCCCAATAATATATCACTATTTTTTTTATATACAATGAGGAAATGTGACTAGTTCTACCTTTTGGTGGTTCTGGACTGGTTCTGGACGGGTGCTAGACTGGTTCTGGATCTCAACCAAGTCAGCTCGGTTTTCTACCAGAGAATTGACCCCAGTTACCATTACCATTATTTACTTTGGGCAGTTAACGTTTGGTCATCAGCAATTAGCTTTTCATAAAAACTGTTTTTTGTGTGTATTTTACATTGTATTCACAGTTTTTACACTAAAGTGACTAACGGTTTTTTGTTTTTTTTAAACATACAAATTACTTTAAAGAATCTAGTGGAAAACAAAATATTTGTTGGGGAAAATGTCTCAGAATGCCATTGTTTGAATGGGAGCAGTCAAAATTATGGTTTTGGGTGTTCAAGCATCTGGTTTCCCCGGGGTCTCCTCCTGGTGGGTTGTGCCTGAAACACCTTCAAGGAGTTCATTCTGAACATGGGTCTTTTACAATGGCTGCATATTATCAGGCTTTTTACACTGGGGTGAGTATTTCCTCTCTGAATGGGGCATCAGGTCGGGCTGGTTTGTCTGGGAGTGGGAGGAATGTTCTTGGTTGAAGAGTTTGTGTTTTCAGTCCTCACAGGACGATTGCTCTGATTGGTCCCATGTCAAAGCCTTAAGGCGCTAACGTTTCACTCAACTAAAAGCTAACGCGCAAGTCTTTCCTCAACCAGCCCGTCATACCTCCAGGTTGATAATGAGATCTTAAAAGATAAGTTGTGCGAGTTTAACCGGGTGTTATCGTAGATATTTTTCTGAAATGATTGAAGGCTGCAGCAACAATCTGCGTGTTCTGTTCTCAACAGTTAATAGATTAACAACCCCCCCTGTTCAAATGCCATTAGAGCTTACTTCCAAACGTAAATGCAATGAATTTGCTAATTTTTTCAATGACTAGGTTCAAGGCATCAAAAACGCCATTGTCTCCAATCCACAGATTCCAAGTGATCTGATCTCCCCTCCTCTCCAAGGACATTTGAAGGCAACACAAGAGCAATCAGGGCACCTGTGAGCCATGGACTGAGACCCTTTTAAAAACTGCGTGGGGCAGAAACGGAGGAGACAGGAGGCCAGAGATAGAGTGGCCGGAGAGGACGCGAGGTCTGGAGGACATTACCCACAGCTCATGACCATAGGTGAGGGAGGGAACGAAGATTGACCGGTAAATCGAGAGCTTTGCCTTTCGGCTCAGCTCCCTCTTTACCACAACGGTCGGATACAGAGACCGCATCACTGCGCACGCTGCACCGATCCGCCTGTCAATCTCACGCTCCATCCTTCCCTCACTCGTGAACAAGACCCCGAGATACTTGAACTCCTCCACTTGAGGAAGGACCTCTCCACCCACCTGCAGAGGGCAAGGCACCTTTTTCCGGTCGAGCACCATGGCCTCGGATTTGGAGGTGCTGATTCTCATCCCAGCCGCTTCACACTCGGCTGCAAACCGTCCCAGTGCATGCTGCAGGTCCTGGTTCGTTGGAGCCAGCAGGACGACATCATCCGCAAAAAGTAGAGATGAAATCCTGTGGTTCCCGAACCGGACCCCCTCCGGCCCCTGGCTGCGCCTAGAGATTCTGTCCATAAATACAGTGAACAGAACCGGTGACAAAGGGCAGCCTTGGCGGAGGCCAACATGCACCGGGAACAGGTCTGACTTACTGCCGGCAATGCAAACACAGCTCTGGCTCCGGTCATACAGGGACCGAACAGCCCTCAGCAGAGGACCCCGTACTCCCGGAGGACCCCCAAAGGACACCCCGGGGAACACGGTTGAACGCCTTCTCCAAATCCACAAAGCACATGTGGACAGGTTGGGCGAACTCCCATGAACCCTCGAGTATCCGATGGAGAGTATAGAGCTGGTCCAGTGTTCCGCGACCGGGACGAAAAAAAATATTAGTGACATGTTAGTCTCATATGAACCAGCCCGGACTCTGAGGAGCACAGGGACTGGACTCCTGTTAGTGCCCAGAGTCAGAACTAAACTGCTGTTGTTGTCTCACCTCCTTTCAGATACGCTCTCTTTATTCAAGGCTAGGTTTAAAACAGTCCTCTTTAGTTTAGCATATGGCTAGGAAGGTAAGACTCAGGGAAGGCTAAACTCCTCAGAGTGTCAGTCAAGCTGCATAGGGAGTCAGTTTGCTGGGAGAAGTATGGTAACTTGAGCACTATCCTCTCCTCCTTCCTACTTTATCTGTTTAGCATTTTTAGGATTTTGACTGTAGTTTGTCCATTGCTATTCACCCGTTGTCCCATTGTCTGTTTCATGGTACGATGACGGGATCTCTGAGCCTGGCCTCCTCCATCTACACCTGCGGACTGCCCTGCCCGACCCGCCTGGGAGTGCTTCAGTCCTGCACCGGACCTGTCCACGTTCAGCGGCCACTGGTCCACGTTCTGTAGCTAGCTTAGGTCCTGGATCATTAGCCTGTCCGTCCGGAGGAGCGGATCCCTTTCTCAAATGGGTCTCCCTCCCTGTGGGTTTCCCTAGTTCTCCCCAAGGTTTCTCACTTTTTCCCACTGGGTTTTTTAAGAGTTTTTCCTTGTCGATGCAGGAGGGTCTTGTTGGACAGTTAGTGTCCAACAGAAAGGATTGGTGATGATCAGGACACTTTAGCATTCTACAACATGTATGGACATTTTCTTCTGTGTGTGCTTTATATTCTTCATGTGTTTTAACTGTTGATTCTCTGACCTGTGTTGGTGATTTCAATGGTTTTGTTAAGTCCTCTGAGATGACTTCTGTTGTGACCTAGGGCTATACAAGAATACATTGTATTGTAAATTGTATTGTAAACATGGGGAGGCTGCTTTTCAGATTCATGCTGCTGAAATCTGGAACAGTCTTCCTGAAGATGTGAGACAGGCCTCCTCTCTGACAATGTTTAAAACCAGGTTAAAAACAGTTCTGTTTAGCTGTGCATACAACTGAGGGATTTTATATGTTTATCTTTCTTTTTAATGTACTGTGATTATGATTTTAATGCTATTTTGTTTTGTTCAGTACTTTGAATTGCCTTGTGTATGAATTGTGCTATACAAATAAACTTGTCTTGCCTTCCTGCAGGCCTCTAAACCTAGCTAGCATAAATTTCCCTATGTGGGCATTTGTTTTGACAATGTTAGCTTTGTTGCCAACATTTTTGCTAAGGCAAGCCGGAGTTTCCCCTTGGAACTTTGTCAATAAACAGCCTAATTTTATGAAAAATAACGGGCCAATTTCCAATTTGACAACTTTCAATATAAATCAGTAGGAACCGGAGCTCCTGTGGCTCAGAGAATATTCTTTTTAATGCCATATGAACCAAGTGGGACTCTGAGGAGCATGTTGAGGCCGTATTTCAGGTGTTCACCCCTATAATCGGGAACAGTCTTCCTAAAGATGTATGGGCGGCACGGTGGCTGAGTGGATAGCACTCTCGCCTCTCAGCAAGAAGGTCCTGGGTTCGAATCCCGGTCGGACCAGGGCCTTTCTGAGTGGAGTTTGCATGTTCTCCCCGTGTCTGCGTAGGTTTCCTCCGGGTACTCCGGTTTCCCCTACCACTAAAAATATGTCCAATAGTTCTGGCATGCGCTTCCTGTACTGGCGACCCCGCTCCCATCTCTGTGTGGAGTGAGAGACAATTTCCCAAAATTAATAATTGTAAACCGCTTTGAGACTCAGATCTGCAGTGAAAAGGCGGTATATAAATAAAAACTTACTTACTTACTTACTACTTACTCTCTGGCTGACAACTGGTAATGGGTTTTTTTCTCACATTGAAGGTTGATTTAGGATCTTACAGCATATGTTTGCAAATTATGTCATGTATTTGTAAAGCACAAAGTAAATTTAGCACAATGAATTTTATTTAAATAAATAAACTTGATTGATCAATGTCTGCTGCTCCACCCATAGTAACCATCAGCCTCGTGTCTGCATCTGTGATCAGTTTTGTCCTTGATCAAGCTGTGAGTTTGGGTAAGAGAGCAGTGGGGGAGGGTCCCAGCTCAAAAGTGGCCAAAATGACGTGCGCTGACATGCTTGCAATACCACCCCGGGCCGATGGGGGTGGACCCAGAAGTAGAATTAGCCAATGCTAACATATAGCGTTGGCAGACCTCTCAAAAACGTCTTTACAGGATGGACCAAAAGTTGGCTCTTGGCCCAAAGCTCCGTTCCACATGTGTGTCAATGCTGAGGGGGGTGCACTTTTTCGGACCACTCTAGTTTACTTGCTGTGAATTTTTTAAGTCTCTCGTTCAAATGAATGAAGCTTTTGCCGGCTGACGCATGCGCAGATGCGTTTTTTCACAATTTTCTTGTGGGCGGGACCACTCGCGGCCATTTTGGATTGCTCCAGTAGAGCACATTTTTTGGCCCATTAGTTTGAACGGCGGAGATAGGTGTGACTCTGTCCATTAATATATACAGTCTATGGTAGAGAGCCAAGTCTTGGTAGATTTGAAGTTGTGCAATACTCTTTCCATTCCCCAATGGTGGATTAAACTGTGCTCTCTGAGATGGTTTCTGGCCTTCATGATGCAGTTTAGTGACCACTACACTCTGACCACAGCTCTGAGGCCTTCACAGAACACCTAGAATGATACTGAGAGGAGAGAACTTTCAGCTGTCGCAAAAAAAAAAAACATGTATAATTTTGCTTTCATTTCCCAGTAATCTGTTTCTTTGCTCTCATTCACTCACGTAAAGTTGAGCTGCTTGTCCAGAGCGCTCATGTCCGTGGCCTGCACTTTCTCTCCTTGTAGATCATATGGCTCTTCCTCTTCGACCTCCAGATCCATTTCTCTCAGAACCTCTCCTTGGTTTGTCAGCTCTTCTTCAGGCCTGAGGAAACACATCGGTCACAACAAGAGTCATGCATCAATGGGTTGCGTTCATGTGACATCACAACACTCCAAAGAGCCTATCATTAAACATTGGAGTGCAGCTGAAAAATATTTCCTGGTAGCTCTAGAAAGTTTCAAAAGTCCAAGTTGATTGGATTTCTCACCAAAGATAGACCAGAGTAGGACCAAAGAAACACCAGAGACCAGAGAGAGTGACCAGAGAAAGAGACCAGAAAGAGAGACCAGAGAAAGACCAGAGACCGAAAAGAGAGACCAGACAGAGAAGAGAAAGAGGGACCAGAGAAAGACCAGAGAGGGAGACTAGAGAAGGGCCAGAGAAAGACCAGCGAGAGACCAAAGGGAGACCAGAGAGAAAGACCAGAGAGAAAGACTAGAGAGTTCTACATCTTCTTTTTCAGCACAAATCAACTACTGTATTTTCTCATAAAGGAAGACTGGAAGTGGTGAGAACATTGTAAGGGACCAGGGAAAGACCCAGGACACACTGGAGGGACTGTGTCTCTCAGCTGGCCTGGGAACGCCTCAGGATTCCCACGGAAGAGCTGGAAGAAGTGTGTGTGAAGAGCGAAGTCTGCGCATCTCTGCTTCAACAGCTGCCTTGGCAACCGTCGTTTCGTTTATTATCTCATTAAATCATAATTTTTTTCATCTCACCATATGACAAATGCCACACTTGACACATGCAAATTGGCACACAAAAACACACACACACAGTGTTGGATAGATTACTTATAAAATGTATTTCCGTTCCAGAATACTGAATACATGACCTAAAATGTGTTTTGTATAATGTTCTCTTACTTTGGAAAAAGTAGTACCTGTATTCTGAACACATAGAATACATGTATTTATGCTTTTAATTATTACTTTTGTATTATTTATATTTATTATAAATTCATGTTTCTATAGTTTTTCGATAATTTGTCAAAGTGCTTCAACAGCTGCATTTAACAACCAGATAAAATGTAATCTTCACTTAAAGAATACCCACTGTTTTTTTCTGTTTATCTATATTCTGTGTATTGCACCTGTATTTTGTGTATACAGTAAATAATATAAAAAAATAGATGTGTATATATTATATGTGTATTATTTGCGAAAGAAAGGAAGAAATCTCACCTCACTTTAATCATTTTGTAGTTGTGAACGTAGACCATGAAGCCGCAGAGGAGCAGGAACGCCCACAGCTTCAGTAAAGCCCCTTTTCTGAAAGTGAAACATTTGTTTCCAATTATCCCAAGTTGGGATACCAACATTTTGGTTTCATAGTCAATACATGTAGTTTATCCCAGAAGAGACAGAAGTGTTATTGCGTTATCTTTTACAAACTTGCGAGAAAGAGCCCGGCAAGTCACTGACTGACTCTTTGGGCTCAGAGACACTTCTGTGTCTGAAAAAGCTGATCAGAAAAACAGATATAATAAGCAAGGAACTAGATGGATTTTGTTACAATTGTGATGGATTAGAGTTATAGAACTCCAGCTTTAACTGATTATTGCAGCTCTAATCTTAAAGTCAAGCTACTTTTAATAGTTTGCATTCATGTGATATCACAACCTTCCAAAGATCACATTGTGGAGAAAGACGGCTTAAAAGTTAGAGCTAATTCACAATCCACATGAAAATAAACAGTCCCATATTTTTTGTCAGTCTCTCTGGTCTCTTTCTCTCTCTGGCCTTCCTCTCTGGTCTCTCTCTATGATCTCTCTCTCTGGTCTCTCTTTCTGGTCTCTCTCTCTCTGGTCTCTCTTTCTGGTCTCTCTCTCTCTGGTCTCTCTTTCTGGTCTCTCTCTCGCTGACATCTCTCTTTCTGGCCTCTCCCTCCGGTCTCTCCCTCCGGTCTCTCTCCCTCTGGTCTCCCTCTTTGGCCTACAGTATCTCTCTGGTCTCAGTTCATATCACGCATGATGCTGACCATTAAAAAGGATTTATACAGAATAATGTGAATTTGATTTTTTTTTTATCTGTCAAATAACAATCCAGGAAAACAACAGAAAATGTTCTATTTCCTCTTATTTCCCACGGAGTTGCTTTGGCACCTGCTGAAATACTGAGATACAATGCCGGAACAAGTGATCGCAAATTATAGCAGAGAAAATTCTTCCTTCCAGTAAATACACACATACTGTACATTGAGGCTACATTCTTACATATTGCACTCTCTCACCTCATGTTTCAAGTGTCTCTTCCAGTTCAGCAACTCTCGTCTTTCAATCGCCTGCAACCACAGAGTTTACGATCACTGCTCGTCTGCCGAGAAAATGACGGAACAATTGCATTCCAGCAAAGAACATATTGTATCCGTATGTGGGACATGCATCTAACCACAATGCTCCTTTCGCCTTCGGTCGCATGGACTGACTGAGTGTTAGCTTTAATGCAGAACAAGGCGGTTTGAATGGAAGGTTGCGGGAGTCCATTTTAAAGCCAAAATGATGAGAGTGGTGCGACTTACAGCTAAGGGGTTCATGGATCGAAAATGACTGGATAGGCTATTTCTAGCTTATACTATAGTTGAAGAACCCAGGGGCTTGGGGGCCTCCTACTGATTAAATATGAATAAATTCACATGGGCTACCTAGAGATTTTCCCCTAGAACTCAATGTAAACTAAAACAGCTCGACCTCAGCAGACAGTGAACCTACAGCTTTCATAAAGGTTAGATTTTGTGGGGATTTTAGTGTCCCTTGTTGTCCTGAACTTTTTTTCTTGTTGAATCCATTGGTTTTCTTTAAATCCACACTTTAGTGCCCCAAATTCTGTTTGTTTTTCTCCTGCTCTAGCTCCGCTTTGATCAGTAGCACCTGAATGGTGTTAGTATAGGCTGTATTAGGTGTTAGTTAGGCTAAACATCTTAGACTGTCAGTCAAGCTGCATAGAGAGTCAGTTTGCAAAGCATCATGAGAGATTGTCCACTGCACATAACCGGGAGGACTAGATAATATGCCCAAACATTGGTGGGCACCTCTAATCTTTCCGTGCCCATGATCGCTTTATGCACCTCTGAGCACAAGCAGATGATTTGAATACGCAGCCATCTTTGATCGCCAGGGCTTGGGGGGTTGCATTGTCTATCTGCAGTCCATGGCCAGAGCAGATCACATGAGCACATTCTGTGATCGTCATGGCGTCACACTGGGGGCAGGTCAACACTTTTTCCAATTTCCTTTCTGCATCCATTTGATGTTTCTGTCTCGGGTCTACTGTTGCTGTGCACTGTCCCTTTCAAATAAAGACTAAACTAAACTGAATATGTGTTTGGGATCATTGTCTGAAGACCCAGCCACGTTTCACCTTCAATGCTGTCACCGGTGTTGCGTTACAATTAACAAAACTACTTTTTCAGGGGAAAAGCAAATTAACGTGTTAATTATAGACAATATAGTAACGTAACGCTGTTTCTTTTTTGATCCACAATGACTTTACTTTTTATTTACCACAGGCAGCTCAAGTTCTCATTCCACAGTATGAGAAGCAAGAAGCTGTGGCCGCCAGTGGTGGCTATTCATCACAGCAGCACCAGTGAGGCTGACTTTTTTTCTTTTGATGAGCGTCTGCGTCATTTAGCGCAGACGCTGAGGTACTCGAGTATATGAGGCTCAGAGTTAGAGCCTCATGAACACCTCATGAGAGCTGTGTTCATGACAACAACATTTGTACATGCTCTGTGGCTTTTTAGACAATACAGTTCCCCCCCCCCAAATCTCATGGTACATGGTCCTTTTCATTGTTTCCTTAATATGGATCAGTCGTCCCATCCCCTCTGCAGAAAAGCAGCCATAAACCATCAGGTTTCCACCCCCATGCTTCACTGTGGGTCTTGTGTTCTTTGGATGAATCACAGTACTCTTCCTCCTCCAATGACAGCTATAGGGTTAGTTAGCTTAATGCTGTGTGATCCAAATGGGGCGTGGCTTGCGGCCTTATCATTATAATTTAAATGAGTTCAATACTTTCAACAATGAGGAGGATTAAGCGGCTGTTTTAGTGATGACAGAGGAGCCCATCACTCTGGAATCAACAGAAAGGATGACAGTTTTGAACAATAGTAACATAAATAGCAAACACATGGCTCGATGAAAACTAGGTTTGAGGTCAGAAGACTTGATGGCTCAGTCTTCTTAAGTTTTCTTTTATAACATGTTGGTTTGACACAATTTTTTCTACCTGGTGCCTCGACTACTACAACCGTATCCCACTTGAAAGACGGCAGTGTTTCTCTGAAAATGAAGACAGCCGACTGTCGGCTGTGTTTGGGGAAGATGCTACGCAGGCTAATCTATTTTAGCAAAATAGAGACTACATTAGTTCTCCACTTGATACAAGCAGTTCCCACAACTTTACACAGAAAATACCATTTGGCCTCCGATTCAGTGAAGATTTACATGGTTCTTAATTGGGAGATTGACTTTCTGTCCCTCGGCCCAGCAATATCAAAAAAGTTGTATTTTAGTCTGATCTTTCCCAAGGGATTTTCTTGGAGGCCTCCTCTCACCTCCTTGTCACCTTGCCTTTTTGAGTGTGGATTTGTTGTCAATCCTGTTGATTGCCAGCCCATCTGTGTGTCCTTGTGTATCTTTTCCGATGTGCTCTTCTCAGTCTAAACAATTTCCTAATTTGTGACTTCTTGTAACTCACACGGTAATACAATAATTCTGATTCCATTTCCTCCAGATAGAGATTGAATCAGAACTGGAAAAACTGGTCATAAACCACATCCTTGTTTATGACACGCTCTGTCAAGGAGCCGCTAGTGCAGTTTTATAGATAGATAGATTGATACTTTATTGATCCCCTTAGGAGAAATTCATGTGTCCAGCAGCAGAAGACTCATCCAGGTTTGTTGTACAGTCTGACTGCTGAAGAAACAAAGGATTTCTTGAAACGTTTCGTTCGGCAGCGCAGTGATAGGAGCCTGTTGCTTCGAAGACTCCTCTGAGCGGCCATAGTGTCATGCAGAGGGTGTCTGGAGTTACCCAGGATGCCCTGCATTAGAGCCCTCATCCTTCTATCCAGGACAGCTCCCAGAGCTTTTTGTGATTATGATGAAAACATTTCAACATTTGTATGCATAAAGCTAGGTTACCTGATTTTCAAATTGTAAGGAGCTAGAAAGTATTGAAATCTGAAATCTTGTTATGAAATCACTTTGCAAAAACTAACCTGACTGAAACAAAAAGCAGGTATAGCCAACATTGATTAGCTCTCAGGGAGAAGAGTTTGCCTTGATAGTTTTTGACTGCACTATTGCACTACTTTTCTTAGTAGGTAAAGTGTGTATGTGTGGTTTTCTGTGGAGTGTTGAAACTGGCTGTGGAGGTAACATTTACTAAACTGGAACCTGTGGAATAAAACTGCATCATTAAATCACCCTTGTGTGATTGTTTTGTCTCTGAATTGGTTATGAACTGTGCTATACAAATAAACTTGCCTAGTCATATCTGTTGGGTTGGACGCAGTCATTAACCAGGTTTGTTAATGTCAATCAGAAGCAAAGGCCCAGGCTGCCAAAGCGACTGCAGTTGTGTCTTCTATCACTACTCTATGATCTGTATGTTGAAATAGAAGTGTGGCTGCATCACAATTAGAATGCCTCCTTCGAAAGTAACCTTTGATGGGACCAGGTTTGGTGACTTTAACGCATTTCACAGGAGGAAGGACAAAGAAGGAGATACTGGTATTCATTTGGTTGCAGGGCGAGTTCCGCGTGGGGAGATTGTTCGAAAGATTGCGCCCGGTCTGAAGTGTCAGAATGTGGAAGGCTGGTCTGGCTGCTCAGGCTTTAACTGTGGTTCATGTTTTGGGTGATAGTAGAAACCGGAGCTCCCAGAGGAACACCCACTCCACACAGAGAGGCCTGAGGGGGATCAAACCTATAACCTTCTTGCTGTGAAGTTTAAGTCAAAGATTTTATACTCAATCCTTTTTATGCTAAAGTTAGAAATGTAATACTTCATTCTTGCTTCTTTTGTTTTGCTAAATTGGGGATTTTGTTTTATTTTAGTATAGAGTTAATGTTAATGTATCTTGTGCTATGTGCTGCTCGTTCCCACTGTTCTGTGACTGGTGATGCAATCCTGGAATTTCCCCACTGCAGATGAATAAAAGATTTCTTAATATTAATGGTTTTATACTCAAATCAAGATCCCACGACCCTCGATGGCCTGAGCTCACTGGTGCCCACCATGGAGGCCGAAGTAATAACAAAGGTTACTCATTCAACAGATGGATTTTAAACAAACAAAAATAAAATAATCAGGATTAAAGGGATACCCTAACTCCCTCTGAACCCACTCTTTGAGAAAGCTGTCAAGTCTCTGTTTGCTGACAAAGAGCTGTTTATGGTAAAGGTGTTTAGGGGGATTTTCCCAAATTTTAGGAAAGGACCGTCCTCTCGACTTTTGAACAAAACTCTCTGGTCTTATTTGACAAGCACGTATCACCAGAATGTATGACGATTGGGAGGACCAGTCTTGATAATCCACCGAGGAGTAGAAAATCCTCTCTCTCCTGTATACAGGACTTTTAACATCAATGTCTAAGGGAAAATGTCCTGGTAGCCCTCGAGAATTTAGTTTGAAATACCACCATCATACCAACCCTATCCAGATAATGTATAAGAAATAATATAAATATATAATAAAACAAACAATGATCAAAAAATAAGTTTGTGTTTTGAAAGGACATAATGAGAAAGTTCAGTTTTTGTTGATAAAACAATGTAAAATCTTTGTAAAAATGTGAAATCGTTGTGAAAATGTAAGTTATAACATGAATGTTTTTACACTGCAAAAAAATACTTTTTCTTGATTTGAGCAAATTTGAACTGCCCTTAAAACTACATTTTCCAAAGAGACAAAACAGACTCTCACTTGGAATGAACTAACACTGATTTTCCCATGAACACATTTAGTTTGAAGACATGAAATCGGAATCACCACTTGAATCAATTACAAATATTGCCACATCTTGATGATTTGTCGCAGTTAACAGAGACTTACCGGTCTGCAGCCGCCTGCTCCTCAGCTCTCGTCTATATGTCTATGTCTATATGTCTGATTGAGAATGTGTGTGTGTATCCCCGCCCCAGAGTCTGCAGCTATTGTGAAAGGAACTCTGTGTGTGTGTGTGTGTTATAACAGCATCACAGCGTGTGTGTATTTGTGTTCTGATTTAAATTATGTTTGTAGTGGTTTGTTTAAACAAAACACATTTACAGAGAATTGAACTTAAAGGAAAGTTGAACTTTGCAGACAACCCAAGTTAAGAAGAAGAAGATCCTTTATTCATCCCTCAGAGGGGAAAGGGGTAATTTCAGTTTGATGAATACACACATCAAGACAAGCAGCAAACATTACATACAGTACACGCTCCTTATGGGCAAAGTGGGTTAAGTGTCTTGCCCAAGGACACAACAACAGCCGACATCAGTCAGGGTTGGTGGAGAAGGTCTCACAGTGGGCTCTACCACCTGAGCCACTATAAGATATTTTTTCACACATTGACTGTGTACATAACATGCAGTACCCAGAAGGCAGCGGTCTCTGTTAGCCCATTTGAGGACCAACAGTTTTGGTCCGATCAGTAAATCTGATCTCATCATGTGCCCTCGCTTACCGGTGCGGTAACAATGGCCTTTCTGTGTGGAGTGGGTGTTCCTCTGGGAGCTCCGGTTTCTCCTATCACCCAAAACATGAACCACAGTTAAAGCCTGAGCAGCCAGACCAGCCTTCCACATTCTGACACTTCAGACCGGGCGCAATCTTTCGAACAATCTCCCCACGCGGAACCCGCCCTGCAACCGAATGAATACCAGTATCTCCTTCTTTGTCCTTCCTCCTGTGAAATGCGTTAAAGTCACCAAACCTGGTCCCATCAAAGGTTACTTTCGAAGGAGGCATTCTAATTGTGATGCAGCCACACTTCTATTTCAACATACAGATCATAGAGTAGTGATAGAAGACACAACTGCAGTCGCTTTGGCAGCCTGGGCCTTTGCTTCTGATTGACATTAACAAACCTGGTTAATGACTGCGTCCAAACCAACAGATATGACTAGGCAAGTTTATTTGTATAGCACAGTTCATAACCAATTCAGAGACGAAACAATCACACAAGGGTGATTTAATGATGCAGTTTTATTCCACAGGTTTCAGTTTAGTAAATTTTACCTCCACAGCCAGTTTCAACACTCCACAGAAAACCACACATACACACTTCTTTTCTTTTACCTACTAAGAAAAGTAGTGCAATAGTGCAGTCAAAAACTACCAAGGCAAACTCTTCTCCCTGAGAGCTCATCAATGTTGGCTATTCCTGCTTTTTGTTTCAGTCAGTCAGGTTAGTTTTTAAAATAATAACGTACTATTATGTTAAAAGCATATGAAGTTTTAAGCGTTTTACAAAGAGGTTCTGAATGGGCAACAGTAGATGGAAATGTGTGGACTGGACTAAAGCCACATTAAACTGTGCATCTGGTTGACAAACTCCTCTGGTTTGGACTTGTGGCTCTGGTGTCTCTGGTCTTCTGTCTGAGGTTGAAGCTGGTGTTGGATGTGTTTTGCGATTCTGTAACTCGCTGCTTGTCCTCCAGCCAGGTTCACAGCATGGGGCCCGATCTGAAAGTTTACCAAAACAACATGTTTGAGCCTCTTCAGTCCTGCACAATGTGGGGGGGATATTGTTGAGGCCCAAACCCATCTTCATAAAGTTACTATTTAATTTGAGGGTAAGTTAATTCTGTCACAAACATGCATCTGTAGTAGGTCTATTTTTGTTTTCACATTTTACAATTTAAGACGTACTGTGAGGAAATTATCATTTTATACATTTGGTTTGTATTTTTACTTGCTTGGATTGAACTAAATCTGAACTAAAGCTAAAAAAGGCAAAGCATTGTGGGTAGATGAATGTTTTGATGAATTATTACATGCATGTAACAATATTAAGTTGCAAACATTCATAGTGATTCAGATTCATTTAATACGAGGGAGACGGAAGGAAGTTTGTGGATGGGAAAAGGTCAAAGAGCCACATAGAAACACCTGGGCCGGACTGTACCAAGATGTCCAATGAGAAGACAACACTTGGAACCTCTTTGTAAAATTCACAACATTTAGACTTTAGAGTTTAGTCCAGCAGCTGTGCCATTAACACTAGAACTCCCACAGCAGGCAATTTGATGGCTTTTAGTTTCTGGAAGTGTAATTACTCTTCATGATTATTTTTATGACATTTAATTCTTTATTGGAAATGTGAGTACCTTGAGTAACTCGTTTGAATGTCAACTCCTGGGTTCGATTCCACCTCCAGGTCTTTCTGCATGGAGTTTGAATGTTCTCTCTGTGACGGTATAGGTTTCCTCCAGGTGCTCTGGTTTCCCCTGCCACTAAAAACATCTACATGTCTGACTGAGTGAATATGTCTGACAATTTATCTGACTGATGAATGAGTGAATAGAGGGCTTTGATGTACCAGTGTGTTTGGCGTCTCACTTCTGTCAGCATTTTGTGTGGAGACATGTAATGATATCTGAACTCCAAAAAAACTGTATAAAGCGCTTTGGCTGACTTAAAGATGACTTACTTAAATACTTACAGGTATTAAAGGTATACACAAAGCTTTAATACATGTAACCCTGCTCTGGGAGTTCTAGTAGTTTAGTAGTAGTTCAGTATAGTGTTAATATATATATTATATTCATATGAAACATTAGAGAATTTACCACTAACTCTAAGATTGTGCTTAACTTTTATCGCTGCACCATTGAGAGTTTACTTGTTGGTTCTGTGTCTGTGTGGTTTGGAAACATCACAGATAAAGAAAAGAGAGCTTTAGGTGCTCCGCTCTGCAAAGAGGACTGTGGGCTGTGAACTTCCTGTTCTGGAGGTTCTTTATAAATCCAGACTTTTAAACAAAGCTCTTAGGATTGTCAATGACTCTTCTGGCCACCCTGGGAAAGCCATGTTCCAGCTTCTTCCCTCTGGCAGAAGATATCGCTCTCTGAGATGCAGGACATCTCGTTACGCTAACAGTTTTTATCCACAAGCTGTTATCAGTGTGAACAGAGCACTTTAATGATTTGCACTTGTTTTGAACTGTTTTAGTCGATCGATTTCACAGTGACATTTGTTTACTGTTTTATTTGTTTTATTTCTGTCTTTTAATGTTGTTTTATGTCTGTATTTGTCTGTGCACACTGGTGACTTTTGCTAATGTATTCCTATGTGGTGTTTTTACTGCAAATGGCAAATAAACTGAATCTGAATCTGAACATTCACCTGGAGAGCAGAGTATTGTCCCATCACATACAGAGGACAGCCCTCAGTCCACTGCAGACTCTCTGAGACACAGGGCAAGCCGTCCAGCACCTGCACAGGACCACATCACAATATACATTCAAGAATCAGTTTATCTACCATTTGCAGTAAAACCACATTGGAAAAACTGTGTAAGAACTTTTGCCACGGTGCAATATTAGTAAATGTGTTTTATGTAGGGCTGTCAAACGATTAACATTTTTTAGTTGATTAATTGCACAGAAATGGTGAGTTAACTCACGATTAATCGCATTTTTAACATTCTATTTCAAATCCACTCCAATTGAAGTTAAATGAGATTATCAAATATAATGACACATTGTCATTTATACCAAATGTACTTAAATTTGTTAGATTTGCTCACAACCTTTTGCTTTTGGGCACAACCAAAATGAGCTGTTATTGAAAGGGGGAAATTTACATACCCCAGCTTTAATTCAGCCAGTTTAGTTTAGTTTAGTTTCTGGAGGAGACATGGACACTTTTTGCGGTGTATTTGCGTGCACAGGTTACGCACAGCTTGCTAAGATATGAACACAACATGCAGACAATAGTTCTATGGCGTGTTTGGTCTTATATGACCATGTTACCACGGCGCCACTCAATCACAGCCGCTCACAGCCGTGTTGTTGTGAGCGGCTCACAGCCAGAGCTGCCGCGGAGGAGGCGGACTTCAGTTCACAGCAAACAACAGCCCCGTGGTCACACGTGTATTCTTTTAAAACTTGAATTCCCAGAGGGCCTACCTGCTCTGATGCATCTCACACGCAGCATTGTGAGTCTTACTATGGATAAATGGACGGGTCATTCGGACATGCGTTAATTTTTTAAAAACGTGTTAATGAAAAATGTAATTAACGTGAGTTAACGCGATCATTTTGACAGCCCTAGTTTTATGTAAATGTCTTGTATCCGTCTTTTCGTTTATGTGTGACTTATTTATGGGCTACATTGTAAATATATACAGTATATATAAAAAACAAACTCATTCTGGGGAAATTTGGCATGTCCTGCTCCTGTACTGCCCTCTTCTGGACACATCTTGTCATTACAGTATAAGTGCATTGGGTACAATCAGAATGTGTGAATATATGATCCTCAGCCTGAGACAAAATACCAAGATTTTATGTACATGTAAAGGTAATTAAAACATTTTTAAGAGAATAAAGCCATATCTTACTATATTCTGGAAAGAAATGGGCAAAGAATAGCACCAGAATAGTTATTTATTGTAAACAGTAATTCAGGACAGGGCTGATCACAGGGAAACATCAGCAGCTCTGTACTGTCCAAATTGAATGATCTATTTCAAATTATACTTATTGTTTGTACATTTTATCAGCAGCCTTCTTCAATCATTATATTTATACCTCTATCCATCCATCCATTTTCTTCTGCCCAAACTTCCCTCTCCACACACCCACAGCTCATCTGAGGAAATCTTGAGGCGTCCCTTTAGGAGAGTGGGACATATCCAGCGAGGCAGGCCAGGAGGAATCCCAAACAGATGCCCGAACTACCTCAACTGACCCCTCAGCGGTTCTACTCCGAGCTCCTCCCGTGTGACTGAGCTCACCACTGTATTTTTAATGGAGCCACTCTGCAGAGGAATCTCATGTGGACCGCTGGTATCCGTGTCTCGTCCTTATGGCCAAAGTTAATGACCAGAGGTGAGGGAGGGGACATAGACAGACCAGAAAAACAAGAGCTCTGTCTTTCGGCTCAGCTCCCACTTCAACGGAACAATCCAAGACAGCTCTGAGTGCAGACGCTGCTCCCACTTCACCACAACAGTCCCACTACATCTCACGCTCCATCCTTCCCTCACTAATAACAAATACCGAAATACTTGAACTCCTCCACTTGAGAAAGAACCTCTGCACCTCCATGGCTTTGGAGGTATGGATCTTCGTCATTTTATAACAAAATCGGCAGCGCTATAGGACTAATAAAGAATGACCCATTTCAAATCATGTTTATTGTTCATTTTCTCTGGAGCCTTCTTCTATCACTATATTTCAACCTCTCTCTGTTAAAAATGTATGAACCAATATCTATAGTAAAAGTAATATTCAAATTCAAGTCTAAAAAAAAACTTCTTCCCACTCTAATTTGTCCTTTGATTTGTCACACCGTTTTGGTTTTCTTAATGTCCAAATAAATACATTTGTCATTCATAATATTGTGTGACTATTACTATCACTACTAAATTATTAGTTAAACTTATAGTTGGGCTTATACAGGCCAGTGTCATGGTGTGGATATTTTGTTTTTTTGTACTGCGGTTTCATTTCACTTTTACTTCCTGTCCTGTTGATTGTCTGCCCCGCCCCGCTGTGTTTCGCCTCTGTCTGTGTAATTACAGTGCCTTGCGAAAGTATTCGGCCCCCTTGAACCTTTCAACATTTCGCCACATTTCAGGCTTCAAACATAAAGATATAACATTTTATTTTTTTGTCATGAATCAACAACAAGTGGGACACAATCGTGAAGTGGAATAAAATTTGTTGGATAATTTAAACTTTTTTAACAAATAAAAAACTGAAAAGTGGGGCGTGCAATATTATTTGGCCCCTTTACTTTCAGTGCAGCAAACTCAGTCCAGAAGTTCAGTGAGGATCTTTGAATGATCCAATGTTGTCCTAAATGACTGATGATGATAAATAGAATGCACTAGTTATCTGCAGTTCATCCAGAGTGATCATGGGCCTCTTGGCTGCATCTCTGATCAGTCTTCTCCTTGTTTGAGATGAAAGTTTGGAGGGACGGCCGGGTCTTGGTAGATTTGCAGTGGTCTGATATTCCTTCCATTTCAATATAATTGCTTGCACAGTGCTCCTTGAGATGTTTAAAGCTTGGGAAATCTTTTTGTATCCAAATCCGGCTTTAAACTTCTCCACAACAGTATCTCGGACCTGCCTGGTGTGTTCCTTTGTCTTCATGGTTCTCTCTGCGCTTTAAACAGAACCCTGAGACTATCAAAGAGCAGGTGCATTTATACGGAGACTTGATTACACACAGGTGCATTCTATTTATCATCATCAGTCATTTAGGACAACATTGGATCATTCAAAGATCCTCACTGAACTTCTGGACTGAGTTTGCTGCACTGAAAGTAAAGGGTTCGAATAATATTGCACGCCCCACTTTTCAGTTTTTTATTTGTTAAAAAAGTTTAAATTATCCAATAAATTTCATTCCACTTCACGATTGTGTCCCACTTGTTGTTTATTCATGACAAAAAAATACAATTTTATATCTTTATGTTTGAAGACTGAAATGTGGCAAAATGTTGAAAGGTTCAAGGGGGCCGAATACTTTCGCAAGGCACTGTATGTACCTGTGATCCTCTCCCCTTGTTGCAGGTTCATTATATTGTCAATGTCTGTACTGTTCCTTCCTGGTCCTTGGCTCTATTTAATCATCTTCAGTGAATCCTTATATTTGCTTTCCCGCTTTTTCAGTCCTCATTCCCTTCACCCCGGTCATGTCAACATGTTTACTGCAAAACCACCTCAGTATATACGTGTATTTTGTTCTGTTCTGTTCTTTTTGTTCTACGACCTGAATGGGAAACTCTTTGAAGACGTCGCACAGCAGGGGGTCTTGCTTCACATCCAGTTTGCACCCGGTCGCGAGCCAGATCACGTCCCCGCTCCACTGCCCCCCAGTGGTGAGAGCGAGGGACCACGCCTGGCTCCTGTAGCACCATCTGGCTTCATTCACCTGGAGGAGGAAGGAAGAGCATCCAGAGAGTAGAGTTAAAGTAGGGGTACCTCACTTTTTTTATGAACAATACAGAAACAGTCTTTGAACAAATCACACATCCATCTTCATCTTCAAAAGAAATAAGAAAGAAAAAAGAATGACCTGTTTTATAATCTCAACCTGGAGGTTGTGGCCAAACAAAATAATGGTTCTTTTATAAAACCTTTTGCGCAATGAAGTTAAAAGTGAGCTGGTCGGATGCAACAGAAGTCAGTAATTTTCTATTTCATGTTTTGGTTGGAAGATCGAACCAGATGTATGTTCAAGCAGACGCTGAGGGGAGCTACTATTTTTTTATTGGTATGAAACCCTGTGAACATTGTTTATGCTGTGAGCCAACAATAAAACATGTCTTCTGCTGAGACACAATCCAGTGTGGCTGCAAGAGCACACCCAATGCAACCCATTTCTCAGGTAAACCCAGTTTTAACCTGAAGATTTGAGGAAATGGGTGGAGTCTGGGATGCTCCTGCTTAGGTTGGAACTAAACCACACCAGCCCTTTCTGGAACTGGTTTGACCTGCTGCTTTGGACCCTCTGTAGTCCGTCTCATTGCGGATCCAGGTCTCACCTCACAGTGGGTCTGGATCTGCACGCGGCCCGCCTGGATAAAAGGCTGCAGGTGGGCGTAGGCCTCGGGCGTCACTGCTCCTCCCTTCCGTGCCTGTCGGATCATGGCCAGGCGTCTGTGGAGGCTTTTCTCGCTGTAAAACTGAAGCAGGAACGGTCGTCCGTCCATCTGAATGCCGTGCTCCACGTGAGAGTAGCGCCCCACCAGGCTCTCCACGTCGCCCACGTCAAACTGCTTCAACTGCAGAGACAGAGTTCATTTCAGACAACAAATCTAGAGCTACAACACCAGGTTCTAAAGACACAGACTGCACCGACGGATGTTCTAAAGCAGGGGTCTAAAACTCAATTCAACCGGGGGCCTCATGTATTCAAGTCTTGGTAAATACAGTAAGTATTGCAATTTGATTCTGAGGAATATAGCCATTCATTTCACTGATATTATCCGATCAAGACCTGGTGACTATTGCCATAGCAACGGTTTTCATAACAATGATTGCCATATCAACTGTTTCCATAGCAAGTTTCCATTGCAACGGTGCCAGGGTGTCTATTGCCATAGTAGTATCAGCCACGGGGGCCATGGTAACGTTTGCCATAGCAATGGTTGCCATGGAAATCACTATTGCAACTATCCTAGCAACCATCACCATAGAAACTGTTGGCTTAGCAACAGTTGCCATGGTGACGATTGCCGGGGTGAACATTGCCACAGCAACGGCTGTCATGGTGAATTCCGCCATGGGAACCTTTGCTACTATCCTAGGTAGCATAACTATGACAAATTGAAACAAACTCCCAAGAGATAGCAACCATTGCCATAGCAATGGCGCCAGAGTGACTATTGCCACAGAAACAGTTTTCACAGCAACGGTTGCTATGGTGATTATTGTTGTGGCAAGAGCCAGCATGGCAGCCATCACTATGGCAACTGTCCTCACGGCAACGGTTGCCATGGTGACTATTGCCGTAACAACGGTTGCTATGTGACTAGTTTTATAGTAACGGTTGTAATAGTGACGTTTCCATATCGACGGTTGTCACGGCATGTGGTAACTTTACACAGCGCTCTCTCACCTCTCACCTCAAGCCCCAGTAAGATGGCAGCCTATTCACAAATCTATTGCCATGTTGACTATTGCCATAGCAACGGACACAAAAATCCCCAAAAAATCCGACCTTTTTGAAAGCTGTAGGTTCTCTTCTACGGTATAGTATGGCATGGTATGTTTTATTTTTTATTTTTACAGGGCCTGAGCAGGTTGTTGTAAAACAGTAAATAAAAGTAGATGGACACATTACCATACATTATCAGAAGAAATTACAATTTACTTTGCTACAAGTTATAGTAAAACCACGCAGCCCTATTTCAGTTTACATTGAGTTATGTGTGACATTTTTCTGGGTAGCCCTCGTGAATTTAATCTGCAGTAGGGCAGGTGCCAATTGGGTGGGACAGCTATAATAGCTAGTAACATCCTATTGAGATATAATAATAGACCCATGCCTCTGACTGTTACTTGAATTGTAACTTCCTCTTACCTGCAAGTACTTCCTCATGACCCAGGTGACGTGGCTCGCCCCCTGCTGGAGAGCAATGGAGACGACATGTGCACTGGTCAGACCTCCTCCCACGACCATCACCCTCTGACCCTCTGTGCACACAACCTGCTGACCTGCAGAGGTAACGACACGTCACATTTAAATACTTAAAAACCTCATTATAAGTAATATTCATAACTTTCTAACTGCATTTCCTCATGCAACGACTGTACTGAGTACATCTGAGACACGCTGATTGTGAAGAAACAATGAAGTATTAATTTCAAACTTTTAGTTTTCATTCCTTCAGCATAACATAAAATAAAGACACAGAAGTACTGTGATGGCAAAAATGACTAAAGCATAGTTTCAGCAAAATGAATGATTTTAATAGTTAAAGTGATTGTCTTGAGTTTTTCAGACAAAAAGAGAGAGGTACTTGATTTGAAAAACGAGAGAGAGAACATCTGCAGAGGATCTGATTATGGATATAGGTTCAGTATATAAATGATTATGGATATAGGTTCTGTATATAAATGATTATGGATATAGGTTCTGTATATAAATGATTATGGATATAGGTTCAGTATATAAATGATTATGGATATAGGTTCTGTATATAAATGATTATGGATATAGGTTCTGTATATAAATGATTATGGATATAGGTTCAGTATATAAATGATTATGGATATAGGTTCTGTATATAAATGATTATGGATATAGGTTCAGTATATAAATGATTATGGATATAGGTTCAGTATATAAATGGTTAACTCAGCGTGGATGTTGAGAATTCTTTGTTCACTTTTCATGTAGTTCCAGAGCCTAATAGAGGCTTGATTCAGAGGCTCCATGAAAACAAACAACTGAGCGTGAGCAGCTACGAGCATCAGCGCTGATGATTGACAGCCCTTGGCATCACTGGATTGGTTAACTTCGTGGATTTTGAGCTATACCTAGAGAAGGGAAGGCGGGACTTAGCAGTAATATTAGAATTCATAAAATGACTTATTTTATATCAACATTTAAAGGCCAGGAGGTCAACTTTCCACAATTCTTAAAATGTGTAATTCATTTCATTCATTCAGTTCCAGACTATCACTTTAACAAATGGTTCAGGTGGTTCTGTTTTATGGCAAGAAGGAATTTGAGAATATTTGCTTGGATGAGATAGTGTTTTACTATCAGTTGTGACACGTGTTTCTTCTTGTGGCAACTGAAGATAATGAGTGACTTTCCCCATGGATAAAGAAGACTGGTGCCTGTTTTTTTATTATGTGCTTTTTACTTTAATTAAACCTCACATTGGATCTACAGCCCTGAGTCCTGGATCTACAGCCCTCAGTCCTGAATCTGGTTTTTTGGGTGGTTCCTTGCCGATGCAACATTTCTGGACAGTGGACATCTGTCTAGGGACAGATACATGGAATTGACTTGAATAGAAGGGAGGGGTGTGAGGAAAGCACCACCTTGTGTTTGTGAGGTCTGACTCAGGGGCAGGTGATGCATCAGGCGGACAGTGTGCTGCAGCGCCCCCTCTGGGTAATTCTCTCCTATGGCGGACACCCAGGACGGGACGTTGGCCATCTGCGCCCGAGTCGGTCCAGTTGCCATGACAACGTGGCGGGCCAGGAGCTCCGAGCCGTCCCGGAGCCCGACCTGGAAGTAGCGGACTCTTCTGTGGTCTGTGGGGTCCATGCTGCCCCCTAGAGGCTGCATCACAGGAACGATGGACTCCACTGTCCCCTTCAGCAGCAGAGAGTCCAAGCCATACCTCTGCACCTGAACACACACAGACCAGTTCACATTAAAGACCAGGTTTAATCCCCTTTTTAGATCCGGGTTGAATTACTTCATCAGTCTACTCAAGTCAAGTTTACTTAAATAAAAATGCTAGGTAAAAAAATTATATTACATCATAAAAATTGAAATATCTGTTTTTAAACTGAAGTACAGTGTAGACCAAAAGTTTGGACACACCTTCTCACTCAAAGTTTTTTTTATTTTCATGATAAATATGAAAATTGTAGATTCATACTGAAGGCATCAAAACTATGAATTAACTCATGTGGAATTATGTACGTACAAAAAAAAAGAAAATATGAAACTGAAAATATGTCTTATATTCTCGGTTCTTCAAAGTAGCACCTTTTGCTCTGATTACTGCTTCACACATTCTTGGCATTCTCTTGATGAGCTTCAGGAGGTAGTGACCTGAAATGGTCTTCAACAGTCTTGAAGGAGTTCCCAGAGAGGCTTAACACTTGTTGGCCCTTTCGCCTTCACTCTGTGGTCCAGCCCCAAAACCATCTGGATTGGGTTCAGGTCCAGTGACTGTGGAGGCCAGGTCATCTGGCCTCACCATTCTACTTATTGGTCAAACAGCCCTTACACAGCCTGGGTGTGAATCTACAGTCAATAGTCATGAAAAGAAAGAGCACTCATTGAATGAGAAAGTGTTTCCAAACTTTTGGTTTGTGTTGTATATAGGGGGCGTTGTTGCAGACCCCGCAAATAAATAAGTGAACAAGTCAAAATGTGTTTTTTGTGTATGTAGATGTACTATATAATAGCAGTCCCAAAATCATAAATTGGTCCAGTTAAAGGGACCTTTATGAAAGCTTTACACTTTGATTAATGTGGAGTAATATAGACATTTTCGAAAAATACTTTTTTTTTTTACAAGGAACACATTGTAAAGGAATTGATAAAAAGCCTAATTTTGATTACTATTGTAGTAATGCTGCTTGTGTGACTTTTGTGTCTTTCGAGTCCTTTTGACACATCAGCCCGTGTCTCTTAGTCTCTCAAGGCACTCTTTCTCAAGGAAAGGATGCCTTGGTGCTTCCAACCAAAAAAATCTGTCTTTCCTTCCACACACAGTTGCTCATGGTGACAGGGTTACAGAGGCTTTGTAAGTACATGATGTACAGATGTTGCATGGCCCACAAGCCACATGCAAGGCCAGGCAAGTTTGTTTATAGAGCACAGTACACACACAAAGCAACTCAAAGTGGTTAACAAAACACAATGCATAATAATTCATGAAAGTACAGTATATAACAGTACTGTTTTTAACCTGGATTTGGACATTGTCAGAGTATAAGTCTAACATTTTCAGGAAAACTGAAGCAGATTTTAAATCGGGGCGTAGGTTTGAATCCACCATGAGACCTACTTCACGACTCCCACTGATGCCTGCTGTCGTTGTGTCCTTGGGCAAGACACTTAACCCCACTTTGCCTGAAGCCCCCACTGATAGATCAAGGCTCCTGTGGACTCACCACCTGCAGGAGGATCAGTGAGGGGCTGGTGCTGTATGTGTACTGGGTGCAGCTCTGACTGCCACCCCCCCGACCCAGAAATGGATTAAGGGGAAGAAAATGGATGGATGGATGGAATCTGGAATGCTATCTTTACAGTGAAGTACAGTTATTTTATGAGATTAAAAGGTGTTCCCTTAAATTAGTATTCAAAACAAGTAAAAATATACTAAAATTTCTACGTCAATTGTTGTGATAAATTGTGCAGCCCCAGACTGAAACAAGTCCTTTGGAATACAGAATTGGTGCTTCCATACAACTGCTCTGCAGCCACAACCCATTGATTATACCAATACCAAATGCCGTCATGCACCAGAAACAATGGGAGCAAGTTTTGATCCCTTTTTGTGCAATACCAAGGTTTTCATTGTCGTTGTGAAGATGTTTTGCAGTCATACTTTCCTAATAATGAATATATAATGACAATACCAGACATGAGAAAGGCAAGAAAAGCCGAGGCGTTCCAATGCCCTTTAACTTGGTGCACATGTTTTATTTTTTTTTTTTTTTTTTTTTTTTTGTATTTTTTTTTGACAGTAGGAATATGTTGATGTTGTATGTTTCCCAAGGCCACAGTCTTTAATGTCCACTATGTTTAACCTCTGTGCAGCCGAGACAACAAAACCTCCTGAGCAACGTCAACAAAACTCTAGAGATTCAACCGTTCACTACTCTTTTCTTCAATATTAAATTTTTGTTTGTAATTAAATAGAACATGGGGAAACAAATGCACCGTAGCATGAGCTAGACGTGAGAAAATAATAATTTTTATTAAATGGCTCCTTTATGTCAGGAGGAACTTGGGTCAGATAAAAGCCAGCACCGGGGGGCTCAGACTCAGGTTAACGATCATTGGATTCCTATCCTACAAAAAATACTGTAAAATGTAGGAACAAAGTAATTGGGCAAACTCATGAACCAGGTAATGACATGGGGAAACCACATACCCATGTCAAAGGCTGGAAAAGTTCATTGCTGTCCTTGAAACCTATGACTACCCCGGAATACAGCAATCGAGAAAAGTTAGTATTTTTCATCTAATTTCCACATAAAGAATCATTAGTAAACGTTGCCTTATATGGCGGTAACTGTCTGAATTTACAAATGCAAACACCATTGCTCAGGCTGTATGTAACCCCATACCTTTAGCTCCTGTTCCCATGAGGAGAAAGCAGGCGACGTACATCCCAAAATAATGAGTTTTTTGAAAAGGGCTATTTTAGAGTCCCCAACACTTATAGCTGTGCTTCCTGCTGTTTCCCAGCCCACCTCTTGACTCATTTTCATCTCCATTTCTCTGTGTCCGTGGTGTGTTCGAAGTATAGGTTATCAATTAGCCCTGACTTTCTTCTCAAGTGTATTTGAGTGTTCGTTCATAATTGTTCTTCTTGACGCATAACGTGTTCTCTCCCAAATATGTTCATGATGTTTTCTCATATACTGTGGGGCAAAAAAAGTATTTTAGTCAGCCACCGATTTGTGCCAAGTCCTCCGCACTTAAAATAATGACAGAGTCTGTAATTTTTCCATCATAGTTACACTTCAACTGTGAGAGACAGAATGTGAAAAAAAACTCCAGGAATTCACTATTGAAAGAATTTTTAAGAATTATTTGTAAATTATGGTGGAAAATATGTATGTGGTCACTTCAAACAAGGAAGATCTCTGGCTCTCACAGACCTGTAACTTCTTTCTTTAAAAGCTCTTCGTCCTCCCACTCATTACCTGTCTTAAATGCACCTGTTTGAACTCCTTATCTGAGTAAAAGATAGCCCAAATTTCGCCCACAACGACATTTCAACCACGTGAAATCTCACTCGATCTGGGGCCCACGCAAGATCTCATCCCGTTGGGTCACATGATCAGAGAACAGTGAACAAAATCCCAGAACCTCACAAGGGGACCTGGTGAAATTGACCTGCAGAGAGCATATTTATCATGTCCTTGTCTCGTGTAGGCAGTGGAATGTAATTCACTATAGAACATGTAATCTTGCTAGTGATATACATGGATCTCAGACTCCCATTCTCTCCCTGTTTTATGTGTGTTTTTCTGGACACAAAAACGGGACGAGATGAAGAAACGGCATTCATAGCAGATCACGTCAGCTCCTGCACAATGGACTGAACCTGTTTTTCCCGTCAGGTCTTTGTGCGTCGCCCAAAGCCGGAATCATCTGGCCTCCACTGCAATCTTTGTCTCTTCCGCACACATTTACATACGGGCCAAAGGTGTGCTGTAAAACTTCCTCTGTTGTTGGCATACAGATGTGTTCAGATGCTGGTGGGTCGTGAGATTAATAGCAATAATCCCAAAATGGTAATTTAGTGTTGTGGGGCCAGTATTTTACGTCCTTCTGCACTAGATGTTGCCAGAATACTCCAACTTGCAGCTGGGGCATGTGTGAAAGTTGGATGGGTTTATTTCACTGGCGCACAGAGACGCACGTCACACCTTACTCCGAAGCCAATGGAGAGGCCAGGCACAACAATTCAAATGTAGTGCCACCAAAAAGGTAGAGAGGGCGCCACACAGACAGTTTTAGGCTCAAAATTGAGATTTTATCTAATTTGCACACAAAAAAAATGACCAGGACATGTAGAGAGTTCTATAAGAAACATATTTATGCGTATGTTACAAAGAAAATATTTGGTGTTTAGTTGTACTTTAAGTCAAGCAAATCTTTAGTGGTAGGGGAAACAGGAGCACGCAGAGGAAACCTTCACAGGCCCTCTTACTGAGAATTGAAGAGCGCTATCCACTCAGCCACTGTGTCACCCTATATGTCTCGTATTGAAAAAGGAAGTTCACACTAAGATCCTTTGTTGCCACACTCTAAGATTGTTTTTTTTTTTTTTTTCTAACAGATGAAATATGTATAAATCAAATCTTACAAAAAAAAGTTCATTTTAATCAAATCCAAATAAAAATGTGAGTTGCTTTTCCCTGGAGCTGAACTGAACCGGAACCACTTCAGGACCAGGCTTTAACCTCTATAATGGCTGCATTTGAATTTTTCATTAAAATGAATGGAGCCGTAAAACTAACATTTCAGAAACAAAAAACACAAAGTTATGAAGACCAAAAATGCACATGAGCTAACTAATAACAATTCCTCTACTAGAAGCTGTCGCATTGAGTGCTCTGAGAGTGCCAGTGTTAGGCCCCGTCCCAATACTCGCACTTCCACCCTCGCGCCCCTCATTTGCGCGTTCCCGATAAAGTGTGCGAGTGCGTAGGGTGTCCCAATTCTCCAGGGAGGTCTTTGGCCCCGCCCCATTTGCGCCCCTGATCCACACTTCGCCGTAGCCTGCATCTATGCACACTCTGGCGAAGGATATTGCCCATAATTCTTCTTTGCGGTACACACCAAAACGACGGGAAAATGCAATTGAATATACATTTTGAAATATATATGCAGTATGTGTGTAAATAAGTTTTGCTATGTTACTTGGAAAGAAGCATAAACGTCTGATGAAGAATTACGGACATTGTGTTTTAACAATTTAATAACTTTTTAAAGAAAGCGTTTATATAACATTCAATTTAAACTTTACACTTAGTACAATAATCTTAGAATGTATAAAAACTGACCAGATAGTTACCCACATTTAACTTAAAATTACACCGCTATCGCTAATTAAAAACAACTAATATAAATGTATTATAACGTGTGTGAAGCAATTCATATTGTTTCCCAAAGGGTCAGACAAAATTACCTTTAATTTTTATAAAGTTTAGGTCTGAAAATGACCATCTCTTGACGAGTCGATGACGTAAACTGCACTCAGTGTGCACTGTCCCAATTCCGCCTTTGCCGCTTGCAACCTGCGCACTCAAACCCTTGCGCGCACTTCATACAAATGCACACTTCATAGGAGGGCGTAGGGTGCAGTGTGGGTATTGGGACTGGGCCTTAATCTGTTTTTTTTTTCCAGTGAGCGTGAAGGGGAGGGGCTTGTGCTGATGTCTGATTTAGTATTTCCTGTCGCAGCCTCACAGCGCCACCATCAGGCAGAGCACATACATTACAATTGTCTCAGGCGAATAGGATTGGTGTTTTTGTCTTTGTATTCTGCTTTCTGATTCCAGCCAGAGTTTGCCAAAGAGCTGCACATGTTACTGTGTCAGATTTTATTGTTTTTTATTGTTAAAGTGTTCTAGCGAACACTTCTGTATCATTGTAACCACCTACTTTAATGACCTGCGTTTATCACTGTAAAAGCCTTGTTGAATGTGATTTTATGAATAAAATACTAAATGTGGGAACCTTTTCCGTTATTACATGTTTGATACATTCATTAATTTTCTTCTGCTATATTCACTGCGGGTGGCAGAGACGCCCAGACTTCCCTCTCCACACACAGCTCATCTGGGGGAATCCCGAGGTGTTCCCAGGCCAGCTGAGAGACACAGTCCCTCCAAGACGTATCCGGTCTTCCCCTGGTCTCCTCCACATGCCTAGAACACCTCCCCGTCCAGGAGGCATCCCAAACAGATGCCCAACCCAGCTCAACTGGCTCCCCATATGGAAAAGATACACATATTTTAAGTTTTACAGGACTTGTTTGAAATGTATAAATTATACATACGACAGTCAAACAACATACAACTTCCAGAAAAAAATATGTTATTCTCCAAATTAAACATGGAAATCCAAGTTTTAACAACTATTTACAATATGTAAGAATTGTTTGAATATCATAGATCAGTGGTTCTCAAACTTTTCACTCCAAGTACCACCACAAATGACACAGTAGCATAGAAAGCCTAAGCATTCATCAAAAACAAGGCAGAGGTTTCATTCCTAAAGAATTATATTTAAAGTAGTACTAGAATTTAATATGCTGCTATCCAGAATATATAACTACAATATGTGTTTATAATATTTCGGGTGTTCATTTTGACATGTTCAGATGAATTATGTTAAAAAAACGCCTTCGAAGTCGCACTTTTTCATTTCCGCATAGAAACGCTAGGGGGCGCCAAAATGGCGGCGATGACGTAGGAGAATGACCTCTCACAGCAGCGGACAGCAGTCTGGGCTGAATCTGTAGGAGGTTTCACTGTCATCTGAACAAGGTATAAACATATTTTCATCAGTTTTGTACATAATAGTGTGCAACTCGTTTAACCTTTTAGCCTTATTTGTGAGATTCAAGCTAATTAGTGTTGGGCAAGTTAGTTAACTCTACTTGATATCATAAAACATGCTTACAAGGCTAATTAGTGACGTCATTCAGATAGTTCGCTATTCTCGTTAAATAGAATTCAAATTTGAAGCCAGGCACAGAGTAATTTACAGTGTCCCATTTTCAGTCTCCTTGCTTTGTTCCAATTGAATCTTTTCATTGGCTATTGTGATGACTTGCCCACGTGCTAATCCTCGCGTGCTAACCCGTCTCTTGACTCTGCGTGTCGTCTTAACCTCCGTTGTCATTGACATTAGATTCTCTCCGTAGGTTTGGCTGAAACTGTCCATTATGTATGTGAAGGTTCTGTGGCATAACTGTCCGCTCGACACATCATAAATGCATTTCCATAAATTTGCATTGTTGTTGCTGGAGTAAGTGGGCCAACGGAAAGTGAAGTGTCCGTGAAGCCAGTGTTTTTGAGCTCTTTGGGAGAATAACTGCCTGAGTCCAATTCCCCCTCGATCAACGCTGCACCCATTTCATCAAGACATATAGTTAAAATACTTGACAGTCCTTCATGGCACCCTCAGCGTTTACAGTTTATACAACAGCCCATTACATTGTCCAGACACTATTTTTCCAATTTTTTTTAACTACTTGCTTTATTATCGAATTTAATTTTAAATTTCTGGCATGTTTTAGTGATTCTGTTTCACATTCCACCCTGGGTTAGGGCTACCCTGGAAAGTCACAACCTCTTCTTTTCAGCACGGGTCCGGACATACTGTAAATGGTAAAAAGTTTCCGATAATCTCAGTCAAGCCAATCCAATCCAATATCCTTCCAACTACGTCACTTGGTGCTCTACACACTCTTGCGTATATCAAAATCCTTTAGAATTGAAAAATCGTGAGGTGCTGGCTGGTCAGGGAAGTAACAGAGATTCAGTGCAGAAAGGTTGGATGTCAGTCTAAAAGTTATGGACCTAAAAAGGAGGAAGAATCTTCTCTGCTCTATATAACATCACAGAGAGACATGTTCAATATGTGATGTTATATCACTCACACAACACATTCAATGTGTTGTGTGAAGGCAGGGAAGAGCGCAGACCATACTGAACGTGTGAAAGAGGTTAAATATAACTCCAGGTAACAATTTTTGCATTATTTAATATGGGAAATTGCTATCATTATGTCTGAGTATGACCTAAAGTTGAATAAAAAGTCCAGAGATGTAATGCTGGAGTCTGAAATAGAATCTCTTCACATATGTCTTCAAATGAAAAGGAAATTAAGCGCAATTATGTACCAGTCTGAAGTTAAAGGTGTCATTGGTATTTCTAATCTCTAGGCTTGGACTTTCAACACTTTAATGATTGCTTCGGTAACTTCCTATATCTGCTGCTCGGGTTCAATCAGGAAGCAACTGGAAAAACTGTTGACTTTTTTGTTTTAAACGCAGTGCCCTGATGTTGAGGCAAATGTTTTTGAGTACTGTAGTCTGTCTGTAATATTGGTTCTGATTTACTGACCCAACCTTTTTCTACAGATGTATACAGTGCATACAGATATAGTGAAGTATATTTTTCTTGCACTAGGGCAGGGAAGTCAAAGTCAAATACATCAGAGTCCAAAAAACTTTCTTCAATGAGAAAACACAAGTTTAAATGAATAATTCCAGTATTTTCTTATGGCTCTGTGGGGGCCTGTTCTAATACTAATCAAATATCAACCTGGTGGACAAGGTAATTAATTTGCGGGCCGGATCCTGACTTTGACAACCATGTACTTGGGTAAACAGTTTTATACTTTTCTACTGTAATAATCTAAATAGAGAGCTTGTGTTGTACTTTAGTCAAAGAGTTGTGCTATTCACAATATTCACGTATTTGTTGATTATCTCGTATGGTGTGTAAGTAAGTAATGTTTATTTGCAGAGCACATTTTACAGACACCCAAAGCCCTTTACAATGTTCAGAAATCAGATATTTTGCCATTCACACCCGGGGATGATATCAAAGCCTTCGACTAAACCTACGCAGGCACGGGGAGAACATGTAAACTCCTTTCAGAAAGACCCTGTTCCGACCGCTCTCCAAATCCGTTTTCAGGCCACTCCCTGGAGCTGCTGATAGCACAAGTAAACAGACTTTAATTCTGTCAGGCACCACAGTTAAACACGGCAAAGAAAGGAATCTCGGTGTCTTTCTCCGCATTGGTTGACGAGTTTCCCTTACTCGCACAAGGAAGATTGGGGCTTTGATTGTGCTAGTCCTCCGTCCACCACTCCCCGCAGCTACCCTCATCGTACGGGATGGGAAGCGGTGACTACGGGCAAAGCAGACACTATCTCTCTCCAGGGACAGTGTGGAACTAATGATGACAGCACTGAAGCTCTGATGTACTGCGGGTTATGATGAATACATGGATAAAACATAGACTGTATATATTAACGGACAGAGTCACGCCTATCTCTGCCGTTCATAGGAGTTGGCCATGAAAAGTGCTCTCATGTAGCTGTAACATGGTAGAGCTGTATCCCCGCCTCTTTGTGTGTGTGTCTTTACTTTGGAGTTTGTGTGTGCATGGGTGTGTCTTTCGTTTGGGGTGTGGTCACACACCCCAAACACTGCATCGCACATATTAGGCTGTTTAACTCGGCTATCCGGATGGTCATCCACCCCATCTCCTCCCCAAATTCCCTCCACGTCATTGATAAGCACACCTGCACTTTTGGACATTTTAAAATAACTTTTAAAACATTTTAATCTTTTTGTAATAAACCTCACTTTTTAATCAATCTGCCTCCGCACTTTTGTCCACTCTGAAACTGGTTGGTCACACGAACTTGGGCGTTACATACTGTAGCAATCCAAGATGGCCGTGAGTGGTCCCGCCCACAAGAAAACTGTGGGGAAAAAAAACGCTTTTTGGGCGTAGGTTTACAGTCTATGGGGCGGAGACTCTGAGCGCACTGACTGATTTGCGCATGCGTCAGCTGGCGCACATCGGGCAGTGACTATGGGGTCAGCACATGATCATATACGGAATCGGGACAAAACCAGAAGTAACGATCATACTTTCTAATTAGTTTTAGACTAATAAGTCATAAAATGGTGACTGGTTAAGTTTTAGGCGTCTGATTAAGATGGTTAAGGTTAAGGGTGGGTTGGGGTTATTTTATGGGAATGGCTGGTTAAGTTTAGGCATAAATGGGTAGTTTGTTATATTTACTTCTGCTTCTGTCCCGATTCCGTATATGATCTAGTGCTGACCGTGACTATGGGCAGTGATCAGGCAGCCGCATGGCCTCATGGTAGTGGTGACGTAGTTGCGCTGCTTCTGCGCCTCCTTGTTACTGCCGTTCACTGCCATAGCTGCTGTAGATACGAGATACGTAAGGAGCTGCACATCTTCGCTTCCAAGGTAATCCACTACTTTTTTGTTTAATTATATTTTCGTTGGAACAGTGCTGTTTAATACTCCTTATTTAGAGAAGTTTTGGTTAGTATGGATGAGTTACATGTTGATTCAGTCTAATCAACTTGACACGATGGGTGGAAAACGGGTCATTAAGCTAGTTTGGTTTGAGCACATGGTGCAGTCAGTAGCAAAATGCAGATCCATCTGTAGTACAACATTGCAAAAAGTCTGTTGGAAAATGTTATCTTCACAAGGATCTAACAAAGAATATCATGTTTGTAAAGTGCATTATTGTGTTCAAGAATTAAGCTATGATGTGAAGCAAATCACAACGGGTTTTCTAAAATTATAGCGTTCTAATAGATGTTCATCTGAATAACTGACCCAACCAAAAAGTGAGTGTAAAAATCGTGGGGTTGATTGCATTTTGTGAGTTTGAACAGTTATGCTGTGGACTATGCTACACCAAGTACTAATGACATGTATTAACACGGAAACGAGATGATTCCACTTATTAAACGATAATATTAATAATAATACATGCTCCTCAGCCGCAGTTCAAATAGATTTAAAAAAAGAATTGTGTGAATCACTATTTCACAACAGCTATACAGTTATTAGGCTACTCATTCAGATTTGTAGATTCAGAGAAATGCAAGTGGAAACTTTTAAGCACTAATCACATGCTTGTACATCATAAATCCAGTAACCACCAGAGAAACGCAGGCCTCGCATCAATACTCTGTGAGTTCGAAAATAAACTTTTGAATCACACTTTCAATTTTCACTGCACAACAGTGATCATTTGAATGACCATAAATGTAAATGTTTATTGGAGACTTTGAAGCACTAATCACATATTTGTACTTAAAATCCAGTGTTCACCAGAGAACCTCAGCCCTCGCAGAAGCCCTCGCCTCAGCAGTCAGCTGAAGCAGCCTCAGCACTAAGTGAGTTTGAAAATAAACTTTTGAATCTTGAATTTTCACTGGAGAACTGTGATAGTTTCACTTTAATAGTTATTAAAATGGAGACTTTTTAAAGCACTAATCACATTTTTGTATTGGCCATTTTAGTGTCCAGCAGGGAGCCTCAGGCAATGCCACAAGCGGCTGCAGGACCAGTCCAAAGTGAGTTATTTTTTTGTTTATTTTTATTTTGAAACATGTGTGCATACTTCCTACATAAGCCGTAAAACAAAACCAAAATTTCTAATCCATTCACATGTTCAAAAGGGAGTAGGAAGAAGCAAAAGCTTATATGGTCCTACCCCTCATTTACAAAATACGTTATTTATGTGGAAACAAGGGAAATGGTGCAAAATTTACAAGTGTACAAACAAACAATAACATATATTTCTCTGAAAAGGTAAACACAAGATTAAATGTGTGTATGTAGTTTAACGCATACACACACACATATCTATACACATATACATACATACTCATACGAACATATACACACCATTATACTCTTCATGTGTTTGGTCATTGAGTTTACTGGGAAAAACCTCATTCTTCTTTACTGTATTCCTCAATTAGTTGTTTTTTTATATAAACTTTTGAAGTGCAGAATGGTGCTGCTTTGTTTTAATTCCTCTGACAGACTGTTCCATAGTTTAACGCCACCAATAGAAACATTGAAACCTTTCATAGTTGTTCTTGCATATTTTACTTTAAAGTTTAGCTTTCCTCTTAGATTGTATTTCCCTTCCCTCTCTGAGAACAATGCCTGAATGTGACCCGGAAGTAACTTATTTCGAGATTTAAAAATAATTTGTGCTGTTTTGAATTTAACAATATCAATGAACTTGAGCGTTCTCATGTGTAGGAACAGAGCATTTGTGTGATGTTGATAACTTTTATTATTTACTATTCTTACAGCTTTTTTCTGCAGGATTGTGACCGGATGGATATTTGTTTTGTAGGTGTTACCCCACACCTCGACACAGTAATTCAGATATGGCAAGAATAATGCGTTGTATAGTATCTGTAAAGCCTTTTGGCTTAAAACATTCCTAGTTTTGCCCATGATAGCGATCCACCACACTAGCTTGGACCGGATGTGTTTTATATGGGGTTTCCAGCAGAAGTTCTTGTCTAAAATCACACCAAGAAATTTGATTTCATCAACTTGTGATAATTCAACATGACCAATGCTGAGTTTTAAGGTTATGTTTTCTTTGTTCTTTCCGAAAACCATGCATTTAGTTTTTTTTAATAAGATAATAAGATAAGATAATCTATTTATGTCACACCATTTTTAAATTTTCTTCATTTCCTGTGTGACCAGATCCAAAGTCTGCTGCAAATCCTCTCCAGATGCAAATACATTTGTGTCATCGGCAAAAGTTACAAATTTCATGGTATTTGATACATTGCATAAGTCATTCACATACATTAAAAACAACTTTGGCCCCAATATAGAACCTTGGGGCACTCCATGTTTTATTTCTAACATATCAGATGAGGTCTCATTTATTTGCACAAATTGTTTACGATGACTTATATAACTTTTAAGCCATGTTGACACTGTTCCTCTTACTCCATACCGCTCCATTTTTTTAATGAGTAGGCTATGATTGATGGTATCAAACGCTTTACTAAAATCCAGAAACACCCCTACAGTGCATTTTTTATTGTCTAGATTCCCTGTTACTTCCTCTACCAGATCAAGTAGGGCTAATGATGTTGATCTTCCCTCCCTAAATCCGTACTGACTGTCTGATAATAAAGTGTGCTTGTCTATGAATCTGTCCAATCGTATTTTGAAGATTTTAAAAAACTGTGATAAAATTGATATTGGACGATAGTTGTTTAAACAATGCTTGTTACCATCTTTATATAAAGGAACCACTTTGGCCACCTTCATGTCCTGTGGGAACACACCTGTCTGGAAGGATAGATTAAATATGAACTGTAATGGTTTAGTGATCACTTCTATCACTTTCTTCACAATGACCATGTCTAGTGAGTCGCTATCAGCTGATAATTTAGGTTTACAATCATGTACTATTTCTAAGATCTCTTTTTCTGCAACTGGTGTTAAAAACATTGAGCTCTTATTTATCTCTACATTTGACACTGCTTGTAACTCTGTTTCACTATTATGATTGATTTCATCAAGCAAGTTAGCACCTATATTCACAAAGTACATGTTGAATTCATTTGTAATATCTGTAAGTGTTGTTGTTGTGAATGAAATACTGTGGGTAACTAGGGGCTTCCTTCCCCTTCCTAATGATGGAATTTAGTAAGTCCCACATTACCTTTGTGTTTTCCTTATTATTTTCCAATTTTGAGCTATAATACTCTTTTTTGCAAGTTCTCAATATGCTAATGAGTTTATTTTTATATCTTTTATACTTCCTTTCTGCGTCCAGCGATCTTTTAAGAAGGAATTCCCTATAAAGCGAGTTTTTCTTTTTGCATGCATTTATAAGGCCTTTTGTCATCCATGGATTTCCTTTCATTTGTGTATGTTTCTTATAACATTTTAATGGACAGTATTTATTGTATAACATTTTAAATCTGTGCAGAAATATTCTATAAGCTATGTTGACATTTTCTTTGTATAGACAACTCCAATTTTGTTCTGCAAGTTCCTTTTTTAAGTTACCTATTGACTCTTCCGATCTCGGTCTTTTGTATGAGAGTGTTTCCTGTTCTACCATGTTTGTTTCCCCATCAAAAATGATAAAGACTGGTAAATGATCAGTTATATCATTTATGAGCAGTCCGTTTATTGTGGCATCTTCCAAGTCATTATAAAAAATGTTATCTATTAATGTTGCACTATGTGGAGTGATCCTAGTGGGTTTTGTAATCATGGGATAGAACCCCAAACTATATATGGTTTCAATGAATTTTTCAGTGTTATTATTGTGACTTGGGTTTAATAGATCTACATTGAAGTCCCCAGTCAATAATGCTCTTTTCTGATTATTTGCAAACATTCCTTCAATTATATGTATTGCACTTTCAATATTTGATCCTGGTGTTCGATAAATACAGCTAATAAATAAATTTCTCTTTTTCTTCATCCTTAATTCAATGGTTATGCATTCCATGATGTCATCAACTGTGAAGAACAGATTATCTAACAATTTATAATTCAGTCTTTTATCAACAAACAGGGCAACCCCGCCACCCTTTTTATTGGCTCTGTCTATATGCATGAAATCATATCCGTTTAATTTGAAGTCCACATGTTTATCAGCTGTTAACCATGTCTCAGAGATGGCTACAATGTTAAATTGTCTCTTAAGTTGCATCAAATAGTCTCTGATTTGTTCAAAGTTTGAGTACAGGCTTCTGCTATTGAAGTGAATCAATGTTAATCCCCTTTTGTTATTTATAGATGCATTGAATTCATCCTCAGTCCAGTACTTACAGGTGTTAAGTGTTTCCTTCAGAAAATTATTTTCAGGATCAATATTTTGTTCATAATCGAACATACTATGATCTGTGTATCTAAATGGATTTAAGGAAGAATGAGAAGTCAAGTCTGTGGCAGATATTGATTGATCCACGGGCCCAAACTCAATGATAGAAGTTTGCTGAGGCTCAATGTGCGCAGCGATGCTTACTCCGATTCAAGCACAAACGCAGCAAACAAAGCCGTGTTACCTCCAATGCTCAGTCCGATGACTTCACATGTACTTATCCAGCTCCGATATGTCTCGGATGACGAGCACCTTCGCGTTCTCTGGCGAACCCAGGAGTTTCACAACCACCTTGCAGTTGCTAACCCACGTCGCCTGTATCTTGTTGAGCTTCCGAAGGTAGCACGCTTTCCTTGCAATTTTGGCGTTCTTTTTGGTCAGATGATCGTTGACGTAGACGTTTGTCCCACGCAGTTTTCGTCCTTGTTTCAGCAGAAGAAGTTTGTTTTCTATTTACAAAGCGCATGATGATTGACGGCTTGTCATTTTGACTCCTGCGCGGAAGTGGGTGGCACCCTTCGATACTATCTTTCTCTACGGAGATTCCCTTGCTGCCAAAGAATTGGAGTACTTGCTGCTCAAGGGAGATTAACTCCGTATCAGGGGGATTTCCGCCTGTAGCCCCAGCTGTGGCACTGGCGTACGAGCGGTGCCGTGTCTCCAGCCCGCTAATGATCACATCATTGATGCGAGAGTACTGCTCAAGGTCTGCCACTCGCGTTTCCAAAATTTTGATTGTATTGTCTTTCTCTTCGTTTTGCCGTTTCAGCTCACGAATGTCACCCATAAGGCCCATAATGGTTTTTTGTTGTTTCACAATAGTTGCAATTTCTGCAGACATAAAGTCTAAGGCCTTCTTTATATCAAGCATTTCCATTTCCATCTCCTCATCTGTCCCCACACACCTCTCGGCAGCCATGAGACTCCTCAAGACTGTTCCAAAGTTACAAAGAAGTGAATGTCTCATTTAATCTGTGAATTCAACAATGTTTATTATTAAATTATTTTACTTTCTAATTTTCAGAGAGAGTGTGGATCATTGGAGACAGCCATGTACAGCGCGCTGCAGAGAGGGCTGCAGTCATTAGGGGCAGCCACCTTGGCCTAACCAACACTGTTGTTAGTTGGATTGGCTGGGGTGGTATCTGTTGGAGCGAACTTGTTCCCTTTTTCAACAGGTCCGTACGAGGAAGAGGTTTGCCGGATGTCCTCCTGCGGTGGGAATGACCCGGGCAGCTTGCCCAGTGTCAAACTTGTCAATGCGATGAGGGAGGACCTGCTCCAGCTCCATCACCAGCACCCAGGAATGCAGATCATTTTATCTGCCATTCCTCAGCGGTGCAGGTATAGGGCTGCAGCAAATCCGGCAAAGCTTGAAAAGCTCGCAGATTTGTCAACAGTGTCATGTCTGCATTTATTGTTAAAATTAACGGTGTCTTTGTTGCACTTGACAGCCTTAGATATGACAGTTCAGGGCTTTTTTTAGGGCGATGGAGTTCATTTCTCCCCTAGGGGAATGATATTTTTTTAAGTAATTTAGAAAGTTGCCTTGAAGACATGTTTCAAAAGCAGTGACTTGCTGGTTATAGTCACTGCATTTGAAGCATGCCTTCGGGTATTTTATTGACAAAAGCCCCTTTACTGTCATGTTTAATGTTTGTCATTTGACAGTAAATGCAGACCTGTATCCTTTTGGCACTTCTGCCACCTCTTCCTTTCTGCACCTCTCTTTACAATGTGTCGTACATGGCTGTGAACCACTCACATCTTTGGCCAGGTCGCAGCCCCAGGAGCCACCAAAAGACGCATAACGTGTTTGCCAAAAATGTTGGCAAAAATGTCTGTTTGGTATGTGTTTTTTTTTTTTTTTTTTTATGTAAATAAAAGTTTCTGCGTGGGACTACAAGACTTATTTTTTAAAAGTAATACAATAACAGAATGAGAAGTAGCCTGAAAAAAGAGCACTAAAGTTATGCCAGAGACTATGCAGAACCTAGATTAACTAAAATTAAACCTACGCAATAGCACTTCAGTTGGTCATCGGTGTATTGTGTACAATCCTGAGCAGAGAACGTGACTACAATAATAGCAATAGGTAACCTGCGATTTATCCGTGCATATTTATAGCGACAGTAGATAAAGCATAAATGTCTAAGAAAACATTTAACACTAGAGATAAAAGTTTTTTGAAAAAATTCTCAATTTCATTTATCCAGAAAATTAATAGTACTTATTTCACCATACCTTTACGACGATCATTTGATAAGAATTTATTTATAGCATTGACAACGTTAGTGGAACTGCTGTAGTTTGTGTGACGCGTGCGGTGACGTGACAGGTGCAGCCTTCTAAGCGTGCCTTCATGCAGCAGTGTCAATTATACCAATAGACCGGACAGAAATGCAGACCTGCATTTTTACCGGTACAGTATCTTGTTTTGTGTAGTAATGAGTATCACAAAGATACACATTTAGACTGCACCATAGACGACTACACGCAGCTAAACCAGCTAGCTATCATATATCATTATTAATTTTTTTTATCTTACACATGTTTGAAAATCATTTATTAGCTGCTGAGGTAGAAGGGTAAAAGTTATTATTGCTAAATATATTGTAATGTACTCTAAAGGCTGGCTAGTTTTTCTTATTGCTGATCTTCCCCTCATTCAACATGCATGCCCGTTTTAGGTACAATCTATGGTAGAAATGCTATATTTTTTTTTCAGTTTTCCTTTTGGTGACCCAGAGAGGCTCGACCAGTGGGTCTTGGCAATGAGAAGGCAGAATTGGACTCCTCCTCATGGCAGTCGTCTGTGTAGTGAACACTTTGAGGAATCCTGTTTCACCAAAGATGCAATGGTACTTTTTTGTAACCCTTATGTTGTGTTAGGGCAGGGGTCGGCAACTCAAAAAGTTCAAAGAGCCATATTTGACCAGAAATACAAAAAACAAATCTGTCCGGAGCCGCATAAACGTAACTGCCTTGTATAAGGCTTATATGAAAGCAACACCGGCTGTAAGCTGTATTAGCTACTATCAAAATGAGAACGTATAGGCTACAAATCAGTAGCGGCGCCAGGTTTGCATTTTTGGGTAGGCCTGCTAATTAGTAAGTAGGCCAAATTCGCACGCAAACTACAAGGGGTAGCTGGAATTGGGGTTTCAAAGAATACATAGTTCCCACAGACCAATGAATGTCACATGACCTCCTCGGAGACGCCATCTTTGATGGCACGCTGCTGTGTTTGTGCATTCCATTAAACAGAAGAATGAGAATAAATGTAGATATTCAAACGCAAATTGGAAAAAAAAGGGCAACTTTTGAGCAAATAATTGTATATTAATACAATGGCACCACAGTTTAACGTGCTACGGACATGTTTTACATATTTGATCAAATTATGCAGCGAAAATTAACAAGCAATGCAAACATTTCTCAAAGCCTTTTGATTTAATACCAGTTGGAGCTCCATTTAATTATTTTAATTATATTAACAATTAATTTAATTAATGCTAATGCCACACGGACACTCTGGATTGCTGTTATTGTTTATTTCCGCGTTTTTGACCGTATGTTTTGGTGAATGGTGGGCAACTGATTTTTCCAGGCGTAAAGAGCAGTTCATTTTATGACACAGTTCTTTTTACAGAAGCAATGCTATTTGTGAACATTGTTTTAGCCCACCATAGAACTATTATCTATTTAATACATTTACGTTGCCCTCGAGAGCCTCGGACGCGACACCGATCCTCCTCATAATAAAGTAATCTAACGCTAAATAATGAAACTCTCAAGTTACCAGATATCAGCATACACAAGTTAGTACTGAGTAAATTACGTCTGTCAACACATTATAAGATACGATACGCACCTGACACAAAGTGCTCCGAGCATATTCTTGCGTGTTTTGAGGGAGTTTCTTGCCTGTTTATCTTCGCAAGCCATAACCTCCGTGGTTGTTCTGACAAAAGCTTAGTCTTCTCACATTCATGAAGTCTAATGATGGGTATACTGTAAAATCCAAGTTTAACGGAACCTCCGGCACGATTTGAACATCCATTGACCCAGCAGGAGATGACCATTTTCAACTTTATCACGACATTAACACGTTTCAGCTTCTTTTTCTATTGTTTTGCCCACAGCATGCCAACACAAATGGCGCCGGGTCGGCAAATCCCCGTATGTAGTGACGTCATGTGGGAACTATGTATATGTTTCAAACGCACGCACACAAGCTCATTTATGAAACTTGCGTAGAAAAACGTGTACATTTTGGGTGTATATTCCATTTACGCAAAATCCAACGTCGGATTTATGAACGTGTGAGATCCGCCCAGATCATAGATCACAGATCATTTAATAGAGGGTCCTCGTCATGATCTGTGATTTATTCGAAGTGTGCCTGTTTCCATAAGACTTTTTCTGATGCGCAAATTAAACTTTTGAAACATGATGCTCAATGAAAACACAGCATATAATTTTGCCAGAGGGAATATGTTTATTGTTGTCCAAATCTGGAATTTCATGCGTGTTTTGGCGTGTTGTGCCGAAGGTTGAGATCAGCGTATAGATTTACAGCACCTCCAGTCCTGGCGTAGTTATCTGCAGTTCATCCAGAGTGATCATGGGCCTCTTGGCTGCATCTCTGATCAGTCTTCTCCTTGTTTGAGATGAAAGTTTGGAGGGACGGCCGGGTCTTGGTAGATTTGTAGTGGTCTGATACTCCTTCCATTTCAATATAATTGCTTGCACAGTGCTCCTTGAGATGTTTAAAGCTTGGGAAATCTTTTTGTATCCAAATCCGGCTTTAAACTTCTCAACAACAGTATCTCGGACCTGCCTGGTGTGTTCCTTTGTCTTCATGGTTCTCTCTGCGCTTTAAACAGAACCCTGAGACTATCAAAGAGCAGGTGCATTCATACGGAGACTTGATTACACACAGGTGCATTCTATTTATCATCATCAGTCATTTAGGACAACATTGGATCATTCAAAGATCCTCACTGAACTTCTGGACTGAGTTTGCTGCACTGAAAGTAAAGGGGTCAAATAATATCGCACGCCCCAAGTTTAAATTATCCAATAAATTTTGTTCCACTTCACGATTGTGTCCCACTTGTTGTTGATTCATGACAAAAAATTAAAATTTTATATCTTTATGTTTGAAGACTGAAATGTGGCAAAATGTTGAAAGGTTCAAGGGGGCCGAATACTTTCGCAAGGCACTGTATATCCCATTCAGATTGTATAGAGCACAGTCAGTGTCCAAGTCATTCTTTTAAGACATAAGCATTTTCAACAACCATTCGAGCTGTGCTGATTTTTCTATTAAACACTTGCTGTTTGTCTGTCACTCGCCCAGCGTCCTGGAAAGGTTTTAGGGGCCAGTTCTGCAGGGGGTAAGCAGAGCCCCCTCGGGGGTAATAACCAGCTATCACCGATATTATAATCCATCCACTGCACCTATGTTACTATGATGTGGTCTGACAACGCTGAGGACATACACGGAGGTACTATTTTTGATGGAAAAGCACAGGAACTGGACCGTGCCGTGTAGAGTCGAAACGAACTGTACTGACACTGGAAAAGCGGCATATTTTCACATGAGCTACCCAGAAAAAAGTCCCATAGATCTCAATGTAAACTAAAACAGCTCGACCTCAGCTGACAGAGAACCTACAGCTTTCATAAAGGTCGGATTTTGTGGGGATTTTAGTGTTCCTTGTCATACTGAACTTTTTTTCTTCTTAAATCCTTGGGTTTTCTTTAAATTCCCACTTTACTGCCACACACTGTTGTTTTCCTTCCCGCTCTGATTATTGGCTCTGATTGGTCAGAGCGCGCCGAGCCCCTCTGTGCACGTGCCACACATCCATATTTGGCGCAAAGCATCATGGGAGATCATCCAATGCTGAGTTCCTCTGATATGTCAGCGCCCTTGAAGTCCCATGCGCTACCGAGCACAAGCCATTCATTTGAGTAGGGTGCCATCTTGGATCAGCGGGGCTTGGACATACACGACATTCCAGAGTTTAAGGCAGTAAGATCCACGCTTCGGCAGTAGTCAGAGGTCGCAGATTTGTTGTTGTTTTTGGCGCATATCGCCGCGTTCGAAAACACAAAACTCTTCACACAAATGCATAAACAGAGGTTTCAAAAATCTTCCCTTTGCCTGAGGTTCTTTTGTACGGAGCCCTGCAAGGGCCAGGGGTAAAAAAAAAAAAAAAAAACTGTGAGCACGGATTATTAAACTGTGCGCACAGATTCTTAAACTGTGAGCACGGATTCTTAGACTCTAACTCTGCCAGAGTGTGTCTTTTGGGTCACTTTGCCGGTCCCAAGCCCGGATAAAGGAGGAGGGTTGGTTGTAGAGCTAGCAATTTCACCCTTCATAACAATCTTTTGATTACATTTGCTGTTATAACATTTAACAATACAGGACAAAACTGATGTGTGTAATGTGGATCTAGACAAAGCATTAAAATCATTAAATGTTGTTAATGTTGAAATTATTTTTGTACATTTGTAGTTCTAAACATATTTAGGGTGTTTTTACTCACTTTTGTCTCTCCCACGACCTTATTCCTCTCTCATACAGCGTCCGTTACAGTTATTTGCAAATGGCAAATTATGCAAATTAGGCGATGACGTCATTTAGCGACTTCTAGCGACTTTTGGGACAGCCAATAGCTACTTTCCTTACTGAGGAGTTGGCAACACTGCTTGGCTGCCTTTTACATTGCATTAAAAAAAGCATGACACCGTAAGACAATTCCTCTAAAACCCTCTGTTATTGTTGCAGATTACA